CTACAAAATTTTTCTACAGAACACAAACAAATCAAGTTGTATTTTAATGCTAGGACCACCTTGAAAGTTGTGTAGAAAGAAATGCCAAAACATACTCCTTTTTTTAGTCTGTTGAGGTTCACAGAAAAATTGTTCCAAACTCACCCTGGCAAGTCTGTGTTTGGGCTCGTTCTTCTTGGCGTAGTCTAAAGAATCGTAGACCATGGCAAAGCCTGTCGTCTTGCCACCACCAAACTGAGTCCTGAAGCCAAAGACAAATACAACATCGGGGGTGGTTTTGTACATCTTAGCAAGCTTCTCCCTGATTTCAGTCTTGGGGACTGTGGCCTTGCCAGGATGGAGGACATCAACAACCTACAAAGACATAAAAGCGAAGAATAAACATCTTGCTTGTAAGACACATTATGAAGATGCTGGCTGAACATGTGAGAAATTACCATCTGCTTCCTCTGAAGCAGTCGGTTCGTCATAAACTTGCGGGTCCTGACTGTTACTGTGTCGTTCTGTGGAAGAGAAAAAGAAGCCGCAGCCGTTAGCTTTATTCAGTACATTTAATTTGATGCAAGCGACAGAGAGGAAAGCATTAGCAATTATCAATTCCTGAAGATGTTAAATTTTCCGAAATATGTAGTAAGTAAAGAGCCTCTCATGGAGCTGGAGTTCAGTCAGTAGGTGCATCTGATGCATTTAAAAGAATTAGGCAGCTTAACTTTGGCACAAAAAAAAAAAAAACAACCAAAAAGAGCAAATAAACTGTCGCAAAAAAATTAAAGACATGTAATTTCTCCTCCACTGCTATATTCTTTATATTTACCTCAATTACATTGTTGTTGGCTTCAAACAACCTAATCATTCAATTGCTGCAAAAGAGGCCAACATATTTTCTGTTGGGATTTTCTAACTCAAAGCCATTATTTTAAACATACAAGCAGTTTGACTTTTCTGATTTTATATGGCTTCTATAATTGATAAATACACCTACACTTAAACAGATTGTTTAAACAAACTGATTTAAGCCAACGACTTTATAAAAGTGTACAAGCAAAACTGATCAGGTTCATACAGGTCTACATATTCTACAACTAAGGACAATACTTCTAACAGATTTTTACTACTTGGCACTTAACAAGTACAAATACGTTGAAGTATTACCTTAGGAATTACCAATCTCTGGTAGTTTGGAATAAAAATTAACTGATATCAAGTTCTTTTATAGCCAGACTGCTTTAAATATTACTATATTTGAGTGAACCAGCTGCAGCAGCTCTAGTTATTTTAACATGTTCTCACACATGGGCCGCGCTATTAGCATCACTGTGGACGCTAACATTAGCTTAGCGAGATTACGAAGATCTTACACTTTAAAAAACGCCGCAAATCAGGGGATACATATCCGATTTAATTGTAACGGCGAATATAACAAAAATTATTGAAACTCGATTACAGCAGGGAGAACAGGCGTTTATATTAGCCAGGCAGTGATCAGATAAGCTACATTTCAAACTGTGTTAATAAACGTTGCTTAAACTTTTTATTGCTGACCTATATTGACAAGTTATTATAAAGAAAGTGAGAACTATCATATAATATGTTGAACAGATGTGTTGGTGTACGGATGCCCTTGATATTATACGGATTTTAGTTGTAGTTTTCTCTCCAACACTCACCATTTTGACGCCGGCCTCGCTCAGGGACGTAAAAGAGGAGGAAGAACCAGTGGGTGCCCGGATTAATGCCTGCACAAAACCAAAGAGGGAGTGCTGTGGTACTGCCTGACGTAAAATACGCAAATCTACGTATGTATTTAGTAAAAATATATTTTTAGCATTTACACACATATATATATACATATAAGATGATTACTCCCCCTACGAGCTTTTATGGCTTACTTGACTAACAAGTTATACAGAGAAATAAGTCCCAATTTTATAAACAAATCTTAAATTTGTGAAAATTATGTTGGGAAACATTCTAAACAAATCTATTTTATAAAAATTACAATAGTTTATTTAGAATTAAGCATTTTTATAGTTTTATAGTATTAAGTTAGAGATCTACATGATCTGAAACGTTGAAAAAAGCTGTTATTTTTCATTTTATTTATTTCACTAATTTAATCTCTTGACACTAACTTTAACCTGAAAAACTATTCCAACCACACGAAAAATAACATAAAATAAAAACATGTGCAAAATGAACTGATGTTTACAAAAATCTTCGGAGGAACTGACTAGGGTGGAAACAATTAATCGGATAAACCAATTATTCAAATAATTGTCAACTAACTTGGTAATCGACTAATTGCCTTTAGCTGACAGAGCAACTTACCTTGAGCAGCAATTATACCAATATAATAAGAAAACATTTTGCTTTTAAGATAAAATTCTTTTTGATCTGTCAATATGCCCTGTCCAGAACTCCTCAAGTGGAAAAGTTTTAGTCTCACCTGGGTTCATTTTGCAAAAAGTCTTCTTTAAGGAACCTTTGGCTATCTGATTATTAATCAGTTAATCGAAAAAATTATCAACAGATTAGTCATTTGCAAATTAATCCTTAGGTGCAGCCCCAGAATTGACACAAAGTAGGTAAAACGAATTTTTAAAATTTTAAAAGATCGCACTCATATATGAATTGTGTACGAAATATAAAAATATACAATATTGCAAGACTGGTGTCAGGAACATCAATAAACCTGACTTGATATCTAACAGAAGAAGGCATGCCATGGATGACATTGTCTGTTTCAGTGGACTGTAAATATTTACAGAAAACTCTAAGAATGTATACCCAAATATTACAGATTTCCTGAGTTTAGTTAAGCAGAAATGAGTTAATATTCAATTTGTCTTTATTTTGATGAGCCTCTGTAAAGCTCCTGGTCTATTTCACTTGGACGGTTGGAGACACAATCACAGAATTGCCAGTCGGCTGTGGGACTCCTTTCCTTTTATATTATTAATATTGTAATTTCCACAGATATCATAGGACCGCAGCTGCTAAAAAAATCCCAGCCCTCAAAAATTTGCTAAACTCAAGCAAGTCCACCTTATTTACCTTGATTTACATTTCAGCAAGACGTGTTCTCCAGGTCATATAAAAAAAAATAGTTACTGCAATTTGAGTGAATTCAGTATGTTCACTTAACAGGAATGAAAGAATGCAAAGGAAAGAATGCAAAAACACTAAAATAATCTAATACAACCTCACATAACTTTACAAACATTTTACTGCATGGATTAAATTGTTGTAACACCATGCAAATTCACAATTGTTACCCTTTTACCAACACAGGCAGAATAGCTTTCCCCAAGTCAGGTTCAGTCGTTTTCTTTTACTTAACCATTATTCCATCAGGACCTGACATAAACATCTCCAAACATTTATTCTTTATCATGCTCAGTGCTGCAAAATATCTTGCATGTGCCGAAATTTTGAAAAAAACAAAACAAAAAAACCATAAAGACAGAATCTGTTTCAGAATTTTATTGATCTTGCAGCAACGGTGTCCATTTTATTGGAGTTTCTTTGAAATAAAGTTATTTTCAAATCAGAACAGAAGGTTACAGTAAGTTTGTCTTTAATTCTCTTCAACAAATATTGTTAAGCCCTCATCGTTGAATTAAATTGATTGAAAATTAATTTGCCACCTGATTATGATGCCTCAGCATGAAGACTTATCGGCCAAAAGGTGAAATGTTAACATAATTTTAAGCAACCTGTGAGTTAATTTTTCACCAGACTTGCTAAAGGTAATTACAAAGCTAAAGGGAATGTAAAATATTTGACAAAGACCAGTCAGTTCCCAGTCAAATGGAGAGAAATAAAATAGAATAAAAAACAGTATCTGTTTCTTCGTGTCTTTGCCAATAAGAACCTAGGGGTAAAACAAACAGAGTAATAACTGGGTTAAAATGGAGGAGTGGCACTTTTACCATTGACTCTAAATGACTTAATGTGATCACTCTCCAAAACTTCACACCAGTCTGAGTAAGAAAATTACCAAGAAACTAAAATACATTTTGCCCACTGGTGGAGCAACAGATAACCTGTTTCAATGCCGCTTTGAAAAAATAAACATCTGTCGGAAAGTACAAATCGATGGCAAGAAAACTGGTCACTGCATTTCATGTTAGATAAGGCATGGGCAGGCAGGATGCATCAAAATAATAATGTCAAAGAGATTGATGTTTGGATAGGGACAGCATCTTTAAGAGCCCACTGCAAACAGGGTTTTCGGTTTCCTTGACAACAAATCTAAAAAGGCTGGAACACCTTAGTAAAGCCCCAATACTAACAAATCATAATTAAATATAAAATGTTTATAAAACATTTCAATTCATTCAAGTGTTGTGTGTTTTTTTATACCACCAAAAAGTGTAAAGAGGAATATTAACCCATTTGATGTCTGAAGATTTCCAAACCAGCCATGTTCTTCCATGTACCACCTCCTATTAGAACTGATCTGAGCAAAGGCTGGGCTTTATTTTAGAAACTTAAGTTTAAATTTATCAAATGTTTCATTCTTCAATTGATATTAAATCATTCGATCATCTCAAATTTTATAAATTCTTGAAAAAATTTGTTTAAAAAAATTTTCTTCTGGAAATTTCTGAAGTAAATTTAGCAGCCAAGTGTTAGGACATTTTAAACTAAAATCTTGGAATGGTGTTAAATTATTCTACAATGGAAAAAAAAAATAACAGCATTCGTTTTAATAACTGGAAACTAAAAGATCCACGCGGTTATGGATCCTAGAGTTATTCAAGTAAGGGTTATCACATAAATGACGTGCTAAATCGAGTCTTTAAAAACAAAGACGGAAGAATATCAATGCTTTTAAGCAATTCTAGGGGCAAAACAGTACCAATTCTTACTTAAATTAATATGGAATAATGTTGATCTTCTAACAGAAAGCTGTAAATCAGCATTTAAACCAACAATTATTTGGATGCAAAATATTGAGGTCCCTCTTAATTTCAAAAATATTACTCAAAAAAATGTTTTTTTTTTCAGTCAGACAAAACCAAATTTTCTGACTCGGCCACTAATTATGTGAATGTATGGTATACTGAATCATACTGGGTTTACACACATTACACCCAGCAGTGAGACAAAGAGCTAACAAAGATGGCTGCCATGAGGGCTCACAACATTGGTTACTACAAGCCAAGCCACTGGCATATTCAGTGCCAGGTTATTTTCTTAAGCTGGTGCGGATCCAGGTGGTTAGATGTCCATTTCAAACTGGGCGTCTTCAGCTAAAAGATAAAAAGAGAAATTTTATTATTTCATAAATAACAACGATAAACAATGAGCAGCAAAAGTGAAATATAGGAGCCTTTTTTAAAATGTTGCTACAGTAGACAGAATTCATGTCCCATATCAGGTATTATTCAGATATTTCAATGAAATGTGTACGAAAAAGCTTTAGCTTGTACCAGAGGGCATACAAGGAGCATCAGCATGAAGTGACAATTTCTAGATTTCCAGTCATTTTCCAGAAGAAAGAGGAAAAATGGATTGCAAGACCTGAGGATCACAGCCCTTGTTCATAGTTCAGACAATTGTATCATAAATATTCATGTTTCAATGGGTATACAACTAATACTATTTAGTTATTTACTCAATATAAAGAGTAGCCTACAAAAAAAAAATCGTGCAATTATAATCCCAATGCCTGTTTTATATTTATTGTCCACTTGATGGCAGCATAGAGCAAATAAAGCATCACTGAAAGCCCCAGGGCCTCAAGAGGCTTCATCTAGTCCCCATTTTTACCGAATTATAGAGAACCCAGTGTGAATTCTCACCCATCTCTCATTTAATTTGCCTTCAGGATTAATAAAGTATTTTTGAATTAAACAGTGCTTGATGCAAAGCTTTTTTTAAGACACAAGAAACTGAATGGAATTCAGATCTATTTACTGTTAACCTAAAGATTATAACCATAGCCTCTTAAAGCTACAGTGTGTAATTTTCAGCGACATCTAACGTCCAGACTGCAGACCGCAGCAACATGAACATCTCCCCCCCACCGCTTCTCCCCCCCAACAGTACGGCAAGCGTTACGGGACAAAATGTCTTCCACGACGTCCGCATCACCTACCTTCTCAAGTGATGAGGTTTGTTTACATAGATAATTTTAAAGATAGTATTTCATTAGTCTGTGTAGGGTATAGATTTCAATACCGTCTCAGTTCATCTCTCTCAACTTGCCGTAGTTACTTTCGAGCGTAATGGGCGATCTCGCAATCGCTAGTTTGTTGGCTCTGCGCTGCCGTAGCGCAAAGATGTCTGCCTCCATGGCTGCAAGACCCGCTCCTATGTAATTATAAATAACGAATTCTAAGGCAACGCAAATATTAAGGTTAAGAGGCTGAGCTCGTAGATGATGATAAATAACATAGTTATGTATAATATATTACATTTCTGACTGTATATCCCTGTAATTATTACACACTGTAGCTTTAAGTCCTGATGGTTAATGAGGAATCAATCGGCACAACCTTCATTAGAAAGCCTGAATGGCCGCCTGTCACGGCAGCTCCTTAATTAACTATGTTCCTCTTCTTAAAATCTATTTTTAGATGTATTGCAAGTTTTATTTTTGTCTGTGTGTGCATTTTATGGAGGTGACTGTTTTCTGTTAACTGTTTTCTTTACACCAATGTCCCCACTTAGAGAAAACAAATTTCTATTTTATTCATATTAGGACAAAGTGATTCAAATACAAATTCTGACATAACTGAAGGACTGAGGTAACAGAACTCAAAGTAGAAATAATAGCTTTTCAGAATTTCTAAAAAAGTAATAAAAAGTGTAACTTTTTTAGTGAAGAATAAATAATGAAAGTATATGTTTAATCTGATTAAAAATCCTTAACAGTTGCACACAGGTGCAAGACACATTAGATACACATGCTGAGAACAGCTGCCTGTGGAAGGAGGTATAACTGTTAAAGACGCTGACAGTCATGTTGTTATGGAAGCGGCATCTATCCAATCAAAATTACTTTCACCTGATAGTTATAAATTGCAGGGAACAAATTATGAAATATCTACAGAATATTTTAGTTCTCCCAACAGAAGCCATTTTTTCTCTTCAAATTTACTGCTCCATGTCACACCAGGAATTCGTCAGTCCTTTTAAAGGCGTTGTGTAACGTGTACAATGTACAGATGTTTACTTTAGAGAGTAAGTCAGCAGCCAAGCAATAAAAAATAGAGGCATACAGGTACAAATGAGGCTATACATAAAAAAAGAGCATAAAAGGTAAAAACTCAGAAAACATTGTGTAGTCATTAAGGAATGACATCCTTAGAAATGATTAAAACTGTCAAGATAAAATAGAAATAAAAAAGCAGCTAATTTACATAGAAAAAAAATGTTTAAAAAACAAACAAAAAAACACACCATATATGTAGAAAACGTTTACTGAGTCAATAAATACTGTGCAACTAACAGCTCAGTTATAAACAATTTATGGGATTGCTGCACGGTCAACATCCCAATGCAAGTGAACGTCTGCTATCTGCAGCCAATGACTCGATGCAACCTGCTGGGGTTTCTTAGATAGAAAACATCTAACCATTTTGTCTCTAAAATGTAACCGAATGTTTCTCTAAAGGTCTTCTAGATCACAGCCAGGTGTTGACTGAAGTATAAGAACTGACTAAATTCTGATTCTCAAGATTTAGAATTGATTCTTTCTCAGTTGATTCGGGTCTGATCTCAAAGTTTTTATTAAACTTAGGTATTATTAAATGCCTTTTTAGCCATTAGATGAATTACATGCTAAATGCATGTAGTTATGCAACAAATTGATACTAATATTGCATTAACAATCATCTGTAAATTAATGAAGCAATAGTAGTTATTGGTGGCTGTAAGAACAGTGGAAAATGCATTTTTTTTTTAAATCGATCTTTATGAATCAATGTGAGAATCAGTCAAAAATTGGAAAATCGATTTTTATTTATCACAGTCCAGCTTGAGATGATTTGCTGTGAATTGCTGCTATATAAATGAATGGGACTGAATCGAATTTGTTAAACTGTCTTTTTCAAACACACAAGCTGGGACTTGATTACCGTAATAACAGTAACTTTAACTAGAACAATGCCTTATGCGTGCATGACAAAAACGGCTATGCTGCTCAGCTTGTTTCCTTATCACCTCCAGGCTGTGATGTTGCAACTGCTTTTCAGATTTTCATATAGCTATTTTCAGCTGTTTCCTGAAATGTTTTTTCTCCTGCTAATAGTTTGACCTACTGGCATACGCCTTAACATCGCGTCAAAAGCTGCAGGTTTCTATTTTAACCCTGGTCTGTCCATGTAGGTCATTCAAGTTGGCAAGCCAATTGGATTTATGATCATCTTGTTCAGTTATTTTCACCTAAATGTTGCCACTTCAAAAAATAGATGTAACACATTAGAAAACAAAAGAGATGAGAGTCTTTTGGTGTAACTCCCACCTGTAGCGGGCTTGCCCTCATGGTTTTTGATGTGGTTGTTGGCTTCGTTCTTCTGGTTCTCATTCAGAACATGTAGACTGGTCACTCCAGGGATGACAGGCAGGTGTGCAGGAGGGGTCTGAGCGATGGGGGAATTACGCCTGTCCAGCAGAAACTTGCGGTCGTAAATGATCCGGGTTCCTGCCAGGAGACACATGAGGTTTATTTTGCTGATCTCCCCTCCCAATTGCATGATAAATACTCTGAGAGGGTGCAGCAAAAGCCTGTTCACACACATTTAACCGGCTCTCAAGGAACACACTGAATCCTTACGTCTTCAATTTTCTCAGGATGGAATGTAAAAGCTTGCAAGTTATAAAACAGTTAAAAATATGGATAGAGTACATGTTTGCATGCTTATTGTTGTAGAGATTTCATGATAGTTATGTTGTCCACAAACGATCCAGGGTGTGGTTAAAGACAAGAAAGTCTTATCTTTTTCAATAAAATTGAAAAAGCAAAAATCCAACATTTACTATTTTGCTTTTTTTAAGTAAAGAAGGTGTATATTAATCACGTTTCCCTGCTCAACAAGCACAAACCTTAAAACTAAAGAATTCATAGTGTTATTTCTGTTTAAGTTCTATTGTTGCAAGAACAAATTCAGAAAATACGCTTTAATTCATAGAAATGTGCTCCCCTAATGAAACAGTGTGGTACATTAAGGGGGGGAGCTTGGATTCCAGAGATTGTGAGTTCAAAACCCACTCACACAGACTGCCACTCCTGGTCTCTGAGCAAAAGACCTTAAGACCCATCCTGCTCCCCGGGCACTGCAAAAGGAAGCCCACTGTTCCCCAAGGGGATGGGTTAAATGCAAAGAGTGAATTTCATTGCTCTGTACTTGTAGCAATGTTATGACAATAAAAACGCTGGAAAAATAATGTCAAATATATAATGCTTAAAACTGGGAAAGAATAAAAACATCTCGACAAGTCCTAAACTTTCTCACGGATTACTAGTGTGCTATTTTGGAAATATTATGATTTCAGTGTTTTTAGTACATAGATAATACTAGTGTTGCACCAATGCCATTTTTTGACCCAATACCCGATACCTGGCTGTGCACTATCGCAGATACCAATACCGATACAATCTGTTTTTCAATTAATGTTTGTGCGTATATATGAAGAACTGCATACTACTTGAATGTAAACTAATTGTCATCATGGCTTTGTCAAGCTGCAGCCTACCTTTGTGAAGCAGGAAAAAGACTAATGCAAAGCTTATTACCCTTAAATGTAAATAGTCAAAGTTCACAAATACTCTCAAAAATGTAAATATTTTACAGTAATAGTTTTTACAGTAACCTAACAGAGATATAACCCTAACCCTAACACATATCATTATATGTTTATATATTTGTTTAGTTGGCTCTTTTAAATTACAAAGAAAAGCACCATATTTCCCTGTACTTTCACAGGAGAAAAATAAATCACTGCACAGTGTAGCTTGATGTAGACGGTGCCCAGGGTCAGGGATTCATGAGAGGTTGATAAATCAGCAGGTCTGATCTTTAGAAATAATAAATAAACAATTTAAATAATTTCTCTCCCTGTGATCATTAAAACAAGGTGAAGTTGTGCCACAGAGCAGACTTTTGGTAACACTTTTAAAAAGTTCATAGCTCATCTTTAGCAATCAGCGTTTTTATAATTTGGCTTAAATTGAACCATTGCTATATGTTACAATATAACAGAATCACCTATTAATGACAAATTCTAGATATATGAGAACCTTGTGAAAGAAACTATTAGAATCTCTGCGCTCTTAATCAGCCAATCAGGAGGCAGCTAGGGAACAAAGAGGCGGGTCTAAATCTTTGTTTTTGTTTTGATCAGGATGACAAGGCAGCCTAGGCCACGCTCTCTGAGACAACTACCACTTAGTGGAGATAGAAGGAGTAAAATCTAATGAATGTACACATTAAAAGGGGTTATCTCACCTCCAGGAGTGGTGGAAAATAAAGTGCCTCCAGGGGTGGTACAGTAGTCATGAGGTAGCTGCGTTGTGTCGTTGATCAACACCGTCCTGGTCGGGATGGCCCTGCTCTCGCTAAGCTGACGACTGGTCGACATTTTTTTTTTCTGGTGCCTGTTCGGTGACAAATTCAGCAGCTACAGAAAACTGTGGTGCTAATTTCCCGAAGGACGGTGGAAACCCGGGCCGTTCCCTGCTTTTTTACAGCTTCCCGAAAGCTTTCTTGGCTCTCCTTTCGTCCTCCCAGCCGTCAGCGCCGTCCACTCCCTCAGCAAGGCAGGAAGCACGACGAGCTGCGGCCGGAAATGACGTTCAGAGCGCAACGTCACAAACATGGTTCTTTATATTTAGCCTTTTTTTTTTATTGAACAAAAACATTAATTTAAATTTTCAAGTAGGAATTTTCACGTTTCTTTCTTAGAAAAAAAAACAAAAAAAACAAAAAAACAAAAAACAGGCTATATTCAGGAGATCAACTTAACATGTGCAAGGTAACAGACATAAATAAATAAGCAAGCAGTAATATTACAACCAATGGAAACTTACAAAACTTAAAAAAGAATTAAATTAAAATAAAAGAGACTCACTCATTCTGCAACAAGACAGTTCCTTGCGTCATTTTAACTTTAGAGATTTTGTTGAGTAAAAAAAAAAACACTGAAATTTTGACATGTGTATATGTCCATATTTGTCGACTAACAGAGATATGAATAAATCTTTGAATAAAGATTTTGAGTTCTTTTTGAAATGTATTAATGAAGGTTTTTGATTTTTCCATTTACATACATGTATATGATATCTTCCCATACTTATGACAATATTGACCATGTCGGATAAATCCTTTGCAATGTCAATGTTCTTGTATGTTAATATTTGATTTGTCTCAAAAGGTGTTATATTGTCTATTTTGTTTCTTAACCAAATATGCAGGTTGTTACAAAACCAACCTTTGACTCGACACCAATAGAGAAGTGTTCAATAGTTATCTCTGTTAGCCGACAATTATGGACATACCGGTATACAAAAACTATGTAGCGACATGTCAAAGTTTCTGTTTTTTTGACTCACAGAATTGATAAAGTTAACATGATGTGAGGAACTGTCTTGTTGCAGAATTAATCTGTCTTTTATTTTAATTAAATTCTTTTTTAAGTTTTGTATGTTTCCATTGGTTATAACATTAGTACCTGTTTATTTGTCTATTTATTTCTGTTGCCTTGCACAAGTTAAGTTGATCTCCTGAATATAACTGTAATTGTCTCTTTTTTTATATAAGAAAGAAAAGTGCAGATTCCTACTTGAAAATGTTAATAATTTTTTTTTTTTGTTCAATTAAAAAAAAAATTAATAAAATAACTTTCCTCATTGGGACTAATTGACTGGTCCATGAGGCAGACACCCTGTCTAAATTTAAGAGTAGTAGTTTTTGAAAAAAGCTTATAGTAAAAGTGGCTCATGGCACTTAAGAGTACTGTTCAAATTATCCTAAAATAAAGAGTAACCATCGTTGCCATCAATCTTATCAAAGTTTTCCGTCAGTCCGTGAAGGCACCGCTAATCAAAGGTGCTGCGCATGCGCTTTAGCCGTTGCCACCAACCAGGCGCTGCTGTCGTTTTCCGCCGCCGCCTTCCTTCATCCCGAAGCACTAACTCCAGCAACCGGCCCTTAAACATGAGTTTCACAGTCGAAGAGAGAGGAAACCCGAACTCCCTGAGTTACCGCTTGTTCTTCAGTAAGTAAATAGTGTTTAAAAAAATCTATTTTTTATCTTTCTGTGCTACTTTGTCGATTCCTAGTTGATACAACAGGCCAGCTGCAATCTCCCACGTGTCAGTGATTCATTTATGCTTTATAGATTTTAGTTTGAACGAAACTGTGAAAATATGGGAACTCTATTTTTATCTTGTGTAGGGCGACATTTAAGTCATCCATGTTTAATTTAGATCTAATTTTAACAAAGGGATCTAGATTTAAACGATTTATCTTTATGTTCCATACATCCTTCTCAGCTATTGTTCTGAAAAATAACTTCGTTAGTAGGTTGAAGTTTCTAAGCTATTTCAGGAAATCCCTCAAGGTGTTTAAACACGTCACACAGGAACCTAAAGAGGGCGGAGCCACGTCCTCTGCACATAATAAAAGCATTGATGATCATATTCTCAGGGACAAGGAGCTCTTTGGAGCTTCTTATGCACCAATTCTGCTGTGGTTGAGCTTAAATAAATCAAGGAGAAACAGATGTAAGAAAAACAAAAAACAGTCACTGCAGTAGGGTTAACCAGAACTAAATAAATGCTTACTCTGGGTATCAATGTGTTTTATTGATACCCAGAGTAAGCATTTATTCAGTTCTGGTTAACCGTACTGCAGTGACAAAGTAAGACAAACTTACTTGGCAAAGTAAGGGCAAGGCAAATGTATTTGTATAGCACAATTCAGTACAAAGACAATGCAAAGTGCTTTACATGATTAAAATATAGGAAAATAAAACAGAATCAAAGCAAGTAGAAAAAAGAAAATTAATAAAATACATTAAACAAAGTATAATACGTTGATAAGTAAACAGTTTTTTCCCCCAAATTCAGAAAATGTTGTGACTACCTTTTATGTCAGATATTTATTTTTGCTGATCTGCTTATATAGTATTTCATCTACCTTATACAGAAAATACAGAAGGAAAGTACATCTCTCCATTCCACGACATTCCAATATATGCTGATGAAAGCCAGGTAAGGGAGCCATTTAAACCTTTGTTTTAAATTTGCATTTATATTTACACTTTAATATAAGCTTTAAATCCCCCTCAAAGTTCAGTTTTAGCAGTCTTGCTGCAGCAGATGCAGTGCTGTGACTACTCTGCAGCAGCACCCAATAGCTTCAGATAATAATATGTACAATATATCAAGGTCATAGTCTGTTTAAAAAGCTACACCCTTTACTCTTTGCTTTCTCTGGGCTATGTCAATATCTCTGATGGCTGCAGTTAAAAAAAGAAAACAGTTAAATCACGTTTGGTTTTTAAACTTTTTAGTTTTTTAAACAAAAGTGTGTGTGTGTTTTTTTTTTTTTTGTCTTAGAACATCTTCCACATGGTTGTTGAAGTACCCAGATGGACAAATGCGAAGATGGAGGTAAGATAGCTCAACAAAGTATACAGTAAGGTTTGCATAAAGAAATGTTTTGCTGCTAAAAAGACGTTCATGTCATGAGGGGTAAAGTGCACGGAAATAATAGTAATCTGTTGGAGTTAAGTGAGCTTGTGAAACAAGATGCAACTGATGTAACCCTCTTATCAATGCCTTATCAATTGTTTTATTAAGACGGTAAAGTTGCGGGGCCACTCAAACCCAAGTTCAGAAAAAGTAATTTAGTAAATTTACTGAGGTATTTAATGGATATTAGCTAACCATATCTTTCAATTTCCTTCTACTTTGTTGTACTTTTATTTCCTAACATCTCCAGCCAGGTTATTAGTGTAGCACTGGGTCACATGAATCGTTATCTCAAGAGGCTTTACACAAAACAACTGATGTATTTCCAACTAATTGAATTTTATTTTAGGTTGGGATGATAGCTTTTGCAGCAACCGCGATTCTTTTGTTTTTTTTTTTCTTTTCTTTTGAGTTTTTACGGGACTAGTGGCAAGTTTTTCTGAACAGTAGGCTAACATGAAGTGTGTATGACAGAGGGGGAGAGACATACAGGAAAGGATTCGAACCTGGGTCGCCTGTGTTGAGGACCAGGCCCTCCTTACGTGGGTCGTTACAAGCGCCACCAAAGCACGTTTCTCAGGGATGGAAAGCAACGTCCACTAGAAGAAGGCTCAGTTCTTCTGCTGTAAAGTGATAAAAACAAAGAGTGCGGTAGGGCTGCACATTGTTAAGACAATATTTAACTGCAGAACTTTCCTAAGAAATGTAGAAACAACTTTACAGCCTTATTAAACACAAAGGAAGAAAAAAACCAACAAGGTTTTAGCAGCAATAATCGAAGAAACAAAATGCATTACTATCAAACTAACAGGGAAAAAAAATAAAGGAAAGTTCTCCAGCAGCCTAATCCTTTAGCAGCATAGTTATGGCGATGCCTCTAGATAACCTAATTTTGTTTTTCAAAAAGAGGAATTTTAAGGGCAGCGACCAATGCCTTTAAGCCACACTACATCATACATCAGTGCTCTGCGACAAAGTTTTTGAAATGCATCCAGGATGGATTTGAACCATCAAGGATCCTAAATAGAACAGACAGGAACAGGATCGATGAGTGTTGCATCTTGGAACAAATGCCACTATTCTGCGGGTTTTTTTCATTGAAAATATTAAGGCTTTACTTCATGATACATGTCTAAATTGTACTTTGCTTTTAAAAGTGAACAAGGTTACTGCAACAAACACAAAAGCTGGAAATCTGTTCTGCAGGAGAGACGCCTTCTAACTAGGAGCTCCATTTCCCATATTTCTAATTGCTGGAGTGTTATGCTTTGTTAATTTCAAAAGAAAATATTTCTTGAAGCAATAATTCTAACTTTTTTTCCCCAGATTGCTACAAAAGACTTCTTAAATCCAATAAAGCAAGATGTGAAGAAGGGGAAGTTGCGCTACGTGGCTAATGTGTTTCCTCATAAAGGCTACATATGGAACTATGGGGCAATTCCACAGGTCAATATGCTCTGTCAACCTTTAGGTGTGTGTTATAAATATTATTAGCATTAAAAATAAATGATTTCCATTATGGCCTTTTTAGACATGGGAGGACCCAGCCCATAAAGATGGAGACACTGACTGCTGTGGTGACAACGATCCTATCGACGTCTGTGAAATTGGCAGCAGGGTACATGTTTCACTTTGTCTCTTTTTCATTGTTTATGCACAGTCTTGTGACACTTGGTAAATAATTGACCTCCTGCAATATCCTGCTGAAGGTGTGCACACGTGGAGAGGTCATCAAGGTAAAGGTGCTCGGGGTTTTGGCCATGATCGATGAGGGGGAAACTGATTGGAAAGTTATTGCAATCAACGTAGAGGACCCCGAAGCCAAGGAATTCAACAGTACGTTTTTTTTTTTTTTTATGCAACTGCATCCCTAAATCAGCTAAACCATGACTGTGTTATTGTTCCTGTCAATATTCAGACATCAGCGATGTCAAGCGGCTCAAACCTGGTTATCTGGAGGCCACGGTGGACTGGTTCAAGAGGTACAAGGTGCCAGATGGGAAACCAGAGAACCGCTTTGCTTTCAACGAGGAGTTCAAAGACAAGGTTTCTCTTATTTTCAGAGATATTCCAGTTGATTAGGATTTTTTAATCAAAGCTCATCATTATATTTTAGTTATCTTCCTATGCTGCTGGAAATATTTCTTGTTTAAATAAGAATGACAATCAAGAGATGTATTGATATTTCTATTTTTGCACTGTAATCCCATTGTCTAAAATCCACCTGTCTGGTGATTATTAATATTTTAATCAACGTTACATATGTGCTGTAAATCTGACCCCTGTAAAGGTATTTACCACTTATCCACAGTGAGTTTATGTACTTATACTTGGAAAAGTCCTGGAACTCTGGAAATATTGAGATAAAAGTTGTAAGGGACCCTGAAGTGTGTCTGAACACTGAGCTTCCATGTAGGTAATGGATTATTTCTGTTTTAGGACTTTGCCATTAAAGTGATCAAGAGCACTCATGGCTTCTGGAAAGCCCTCATTTGCCAACAAACTAACGCTGGGGAACTCAACTGGTAAAAACCCTGATGTTTTTGTGGCTGCTTCCATTTCTGGTAGATTTGCATTCTTTAAAGTTTTAACTCTGTCTCATAAACAGCAAAAACACATGTGTCTCAGCTGGTGACAGCCCATTCTGCTGCTCAGCGGATGAGGCCAAAGCTGCCGTTGGTGAGGTAAGATGTCCCGCCCTTCATTTGGAAGCATAACAGGTTTCAACATCAAGACTTAAAATCTTCTATTTGGCTCCAATTTTAGACATGCCCTTGTGGAAAAGAAGAGCCTATCCCATCATCAGGTAGACCTTTATGAATACCCCCTTCTCTGATGGATGCAGTGTTTTAAACTCATGCTGAATATTATTTGTTTGTGTTTACAGTTGATAAATGGTTCTACTATGAGAGGAAGTGATCCGGGAGCTGAAAGGTTTCAAGAACAAAAAAATACAAACTAATGTGACAGTTATACTTGAAGATACATTAAAATTAAACACCAGTGGGGTTATATGTAGGTCCTCTATCTTCCTGTAGATGGAGCACTACTGGTTAGATACTGACAAAGAAAGTCAAAGGGTACTCATGTATTGACTAACAACTTTTTCCTTTATTTGAACAAAGATTCCTGCAAGGTTGTGCTGTCAGATAAAGTACCGAAACTGTGCCTCACAGAAATGTGTGCTGTATGACACTGACCTGTTTAATAAAGGCTCTCTGCTTAAATTATTATCCCAGTGTCAGTTTAATGGTTTACAGCCATGAAATGGATAAATGAGGGATCCGCTTGTCTCATGTTGAATTAGTGTTTGTAAAAAAGTGTTGTGTTTATAACATGGTATAGGCAGAAATAAGTTCATATAGTAAATACGGTATTATAAAAGGATCTTTGACCTTTTGGTAAGTAGATAAAACTGTCAGGGTTATTGTTGAGTGCTTGTAAAAGGGTGTGAGCTCTCATTTAATTAGCTTAGTTAATTCTAGGTTTTTATTTATTCTTCTATATTTTTCAGTATTTTAAAAAATAAAATATTATAATAACCTTGTGAGTAAAACTTCCACTGCAGAAAATGTTTCACTATACATTCAGATGTCCATGATAGATGCAGGGGTATAAATGGGAATTCTATTGCTACAAATAAAATTAAAATTGATGTATAAGGCTATTGATACTAAAGTCCTAAGAGGAGCATTTAAAACTAAAAACACATTTTACAATACATTTGTGACTGCAGCCTTTTTCAATATGTGCTTTGGTTTTATCAAATCAAATCTGAAATACTATAATTTAGCATCCAGATTCAAACGCATTAAGAGGCAAATCAATTCATTAACATTGTCCCATCTTTGTTTAATATTGTATTCTGTTTCTTGTGAGTTTATATTGGCGTGGTCCCTAAATATAAAGAAGAGTTTACTATATAAAGTTAATTAATTCACATTTTGCTGTTCAAGTTTTGTTTTTCTTTTCAAATTTATTGGTTTTAGACTGTTTTTTAAATGGTTATAAAGATAAACTAAGGTGAGAATATTATTCACACCACAGGTTCACTACATCAATGTTAGACTGATCAAAGCAAACTGATAAGAGCAAAAGTTCATCATGATTAACAGAAATAAAAGAAAAAATCTCAACTATTACTATAGGCCGACACACCCATTCAATGAATTGAAATACAGAAGTTTTATATTATTTTCTCATAATGCAATTTTTTAAATGGCACCTTTTCAATGTTTAATAAAAGCAATGTATATGATCTGTTTAAATAAACCTGAATAAGTGAAGTATTGATGAAAAAAGTGTTATTCTGCATTACCGGTACTTCTCTTCATTTTTTCTAACGGAAAATAAAATATGAAATGGCCCAGAATACGATGTAAGAAAAAAATACCACAGTGGTCCTGGTAAATAATGTTATGTTACTGTAAAAGTGAACGAGGTGTATTTGAACACACCATGAGGTCATCAGCGGTCATAAAACCCAGTGTAGAAGCGCAGCCAGGAAGGGAGGGCGCATTTTCTGGACCAAATTTGACGGACAACAGGCTTTCACAAACTCCATACCAAGGTAAGGCTGAATCATGGTGGATGGAGTTTACTTTTACCTCTAAAATGTATTTCTTTTTATTATTTCCCCTTAATAAAAAAATATTAAAGAATTACTCGACTTAATTTGGCCATTTGGGACCAAATCATGATTTCCAGTATTAATGCTTATTTTTGGAGAGCTGATATATGTTACAAGTAATTGAAAAATATACAGGAACATACATACAGTATTAATATTTTTAGTTTCACTCCTATTTCTGCTTTATTTTGTTTTGTTTTTTTGTATTAAAAAACATATACCAACTTTAAAAGACAAGCATATCCTTTCAGAGATTAAGCAGATATTATATCCCAGTGTTATTTATATGGTTGCACAAAAAAACAATGTTAGGATATGGGTTTTGTTGTTTACTGGTGACCCAGGTTCAACAATCAACAGTTGGGTAATTTCTGGAGGCCTCCTCTCACTAAAAGCGTCTCCATTCAGCAAGAACATTGAGTCACTAGAGTGACAGGTGCTGGTGTGTCCATGAGGCAGAGGCAGGGGACAGTGTCTAGATCAAATGTCCTTCTCCCAACTAGTCATAAAAATAGTCAGAGGAACACCAGTGCAGCAGAGTGAGACGGTGCACAGAACAAGCACTTGACTGCTTTACACGTTTTAAAACTTTGAAAGTGATTACTCACAGCTTACACATACCAGAGGAGTAATCCTGGACCAGGAATAATGATTACTACTGGGTCAATTCTGGGTTCCATAACACAGTAGCCCCTTTACAAAATATTAGATTCTTCTATTGTACTATAAATTCAAATGGACACTTATTCTTGGTACTTTTTCAAAGAAGAATGTGTGTTTTGATCTTATTTCCCATTATGCTTAACCAGTTATCTGTATTGTAGATTGTCAACAGAGATGTCTTTTATATTTGACTGGATCTACAAGAGTTTCAGCAGTGTCCTGCAGTTATTAGGTATAGTATAATACAGAAATACTGGATATTTTACTGTACAGCAGCCTTATCCTAATTCTTTCATGCATGCAGTTAAGAGGTATTGCGTTGTCCATGTTTATTTGCCCAATGGAGAGACATGAACTTATGCTGTGGTGTTGCCTTTATGGGTTTATCTTTTTTTTTTTTTTTTTTTTTTTTTTTTTTTTTTTTTTTTTTTTTTAACCCTATCTGTGGTTTTTAACAACTCTATAATATTTGGGATTTTGGACTTTATCTGTTTGGTTTTCATTATTGCAGCACACTACTATTTACTTACAGTACTTTTTCTTTTGCATCATCCTAATCTTCTCATTGTTGTCCTTCCTCTTTCTGCATCAAACTGATGTAATGATGGTGTTGAGGGCAGCACTGGGTAAAACCTCCGGTAATCCATCTGACCATGTAAAACTCACTGATCTCCTTTCACCCAATAGCTTACGTTTTAGAATCAGCGTAGATAAAACTTGTACAAAGTTGTTTCAGTGATCACAAATATACATCAGTGTGTGGATAAGAGTTAAAAGTGGACTCCGTGCAAGTCAACCAGATAATCACAGTTTACCTCTACCATTTGAATAACAATACTGTTCAAACATTAAGCCAATATTATGCTATGACCAAATTTGAGGGTGTAAGAAATGTCTAGCTGCCAGCTGTAATCCTTCTACTTAACTGAGATTGAGCCTTGCTGGTGGTAACAGGTCCAGGAGGGAAACCAAGACCTCCTTATCTGGGGGATCCCAAGGTGTACTATACACATGTAGGCTATAGTCCCTCCAGCAAGTTGTGGGTGTACGCCGAGGTTTCCTCCTGAATGTTTTACAGTATCGGAATCAGTTCAAACTCTTTGAAACTGATTTTTGTTTTTAAATTCAACTGTTATATTTCCGTCCATCATCCAATTCTAAAATAAAAACAATTCAAAGAAGATAAAGCCTCAAGATGAACAAAATACATATTCTTTGCATTTTTTATTCCAAATAATCTAATGTTAGTTTTACTTTAGCATAAATGACCTCTCTATGTAAATACTTCAAATATGTTATATGTAGGATTAAATGCAACCACACAGAAAAAACTACAGTTCATGTTTTAATAAAACTTTATTGATCCTAAGAGGATAAAAGGCCCCTCTCAGTTCTATGTTAACTCCTTATTTTATTTTTCTCTGTTTTAAATGTGTTATTTTTCATGTTAGGGTTGTACAAGAAGACTGGGAAGCTGGTTTTCCTCGGACTAGACAATGCCGGAAAAACAACCCTTCTGCAGATGCTCAGAGACGACAGGCTGGGACAGCATATGCCTACAATGTACCCAAGTATGTGGAATGTAGTTTACATTTACATTACACACTTCTCCTTGTGTTTTATGGGTATGTTCCTCTTCAAAATGTTTTATTCTCTTTCTGCTATCAGCATCTGAAGAGCTAACCATAGCTGGAATGACGTTCACCACGTTCGACCTCGGAGGTCATACTCAAGGTAATAGTATAGAATATGGTCCTAGTACAAATGCTTACGCTTAAGAAAGACTCACTGATGCATCTGCAGGGTGTCACATAAAACCTGAAATGTCCTCACAGCCCGAAGGATCTGGAAGAATTACTTCCCAGCAATAAATGGAATTGTCTTCATGGTGGATTGTGCTGATCATGACCGTCTAGCAGAGGCTAAAGCTGAATTGGACGTGAGTTCATTCCAATCCTGCTGCCTTTAAAAAAAAATCTAAACTGATGCCTATTCTGTGACTGTAAAAACATGTGCATTTTTGTGGAGGATAGGCGGTGTTAACGGATGAAACCATTGCTAACATCCCGGTTCTGGTCCTGGGGAATAAGATAGACCGTCCAGAAGCCATCAGTGAGGATGCACTCAGAGGAATGTTTGGTCTGCATGGACATACAACTGGAAAGGTGAAAGACACAAAGTGTTTTGTAAAATACAACGCTTTACCAAGGATTTTATTTTATCGGGTCATTCAGTTATCTAGAATAAAAAATATTTTCAATGTATTGTTTTCAGGATTCTGTGTAATTGACACCTAGTTGTGAAGGGAAGGAAAAGGATGGATGGTTTTTAATTCTTTTATAGAAAAAATGGGAGGACACCATGTAACACAGGAAACTGAACACACTATCCCCACAGTCAAACATGGTAGTGGAGGCTTTATGATCTTGAGAAACGCTCTTCAGCAGAGACAGGAAAGCTGTTCATAGTTGAAGGGAGGATCATTTTAACTAAATGCAGGAAAATCCTGGAAGAAACCCTCTTAGATATGGCCAAAGATTTGAGACTGGTGGGGGTTCATCTCCCAGCAAAGCAATGGTTTCCCATAAACCATTGCTCTAAGGTAAAATTAAAATCAACAATTATTCACTATCTACGATGGCTCAGTCAATGTCCAGACTTAAATCCAGTGGAGTATTATGACAAAAAAAATCTTACATTGCTCTATTAATTACAAATGGCACTAAGATATAATGAAGGCAACTTCCTGGCATGGGCTTCAAATATTGATACCAGATTGCCTTAAAATCAGAAAAAAATGAAGCTATTAAAAACATGTGAAATGTTTAATAAACACTTTTGCAAGGCAATGTTAAAAGAAGCTTTAAAAGATGGAGCACTTTAATGACATGCTTTGTAAGTCATATTCTGGTGGCCTTTTTAGCAAATTGTTATAGATGCCGATGGCTGTGGGCCTGAAGGTCCTCCTGTGGTGGAAACAACCGATCTGGACAAGCCTCTTACTCAATATATTATTATTGTATGACAGTCTAATGAAGATAATGCAAAGAGTTTTTCATAATGTTTTTCACATTGTGGACTTTTTAAAGTCCTCAACAGATGTTCCAGAGCAGTAGTTCTCAACACTGGTCTTCAAGTACCGCAGATCTATAGAAGTCTCTCTGTTGCAGCACCACTGCTTCATATCATTGCATGAGGTCCTCATCAGCAATCAAGTACTGGAGATGCCTGTTAATAATTTATTCATACAGATAGGTCAGGTGTGTATCAGCAAGTAGACGCATAACTTTCAAGACAGTGGTACTAAAGGACCAGGATAAGGAACCGCTGTTCTAGAGGAGTTGCCAGACAGAACCAGTTGGGGTATTTATACTCCTGCACCACCTCCATTTCTTCTCACATGCTAATGGTATATGACCTTTTTCCGGTTGCTGCTGAAATCTGAAGTCATTTTCCTTTTTAATTGATAATCAGGATAATTTTCTCCGTACCCTGCAACAATCCAGTTCACTAGCTCCCCGTACTTAACCTCTTGTCCTTCTACGATACACCCCACAACGTCATCTTAGTATTTCTGCAGATGACAGGAGAATTGTCTGACTTGTACGGAAAGTCATAAGTGTATAGAGTAAAAAAGGAACAACAGTATTGTCCCCTATTATGCTCTTGTGATGCTAAACACTTGCTTAGACAAGTAACACTTTGGTGTCACAAATTGTGGTTTGTTTGTCAAGTAGTTTTGATCCGGGCAGTTGTTAAGTCCTCCACCTGAGTCTTCTGGAATTTCTGAGAAAGCAAAGCAAGCTGAATCAACTCCACAGTCATAAGCAAACTGCATTAGGTCCTATCGCTTGTTTTCTCAACAATAGTCTGTCTTGAACTTCCATCATGTGGGACACAATAGGCAACTACAAGCCTTGAGAGCCATTAAATTACTTTGGATTTGTCCTTGCTTCACCACACTTGCATCAGATGGCTGAATTAGCTTCTCAGTGTGCAATCGTGTACTTCAAAGTAGTTTTTTTTTATCCAATTATTCGATTCAGATGTGATGAATCAGTGTTCAGCTGCTAAAAGTTCACCCTCATGATATCAGGGTTTGGGGTTAGACTTAGGAGGTCTATAGCCAATGAGATCTGCTGGTTGAGTTGTCATTTGTACCAGCAGAATACAGGGGGTCTTTCACAACAATGGGTCTCATGCAAGAATCATTTGTATGAACAAATCTGTTCTTAAAATGTTCATACTAGTGATTAAGGAGAAAATGTTGCATTCATCTTTTTTTTCTAGTCCTCCCTGTGCTCCAGGCATGATGTGGGAGTCTTTCACAATCAGTCAGCTGTTATCTATCCTAGTTTTTCACTAAATGTACACAATTACTACTTAAAAGCAATTGATCATTTTTTTAGGCTATATCATTATATATTAAACAACTCTGCAATTATAAATTACATCTTTCTTCACTGATGACAGAACTACTGGCAACTACACTTGCAGCTGGCATGTCAGTATTCAGGGGATAGTGGTTTCATTTGTTGTCATTTTATCAAAAGGAAGAACAGTCAGTGAGTTCTATGTGAGATCAAGGTTCTATTGAAATAACATCCAGAATATAACAAGTTAATCAACCTGCTGCTTGAAAGTCATCGACAAGTTGCTTTTATTTCACTCCAGGGTAGCTGATTGGCTTTGTTATACTAAATGTGGAATGTGATTATGTTTTTTGGATTATAATCCAAACTTGTGACCTCTCAAAGACGGTGTAGGGAACTGATTTAATCCTCAGTCTCCCCAGGTTTTACTGCCAGAACTATGATGACAGACGTCAATTGCACTCATGCCACTCTTTATTGAAGTTGTGCTGATTTAGATGAGAATTGTTGTTTGAGCTTCTGATTACGGTTTATGGTTTGGTCTCATTGAAGCATAAACCCCTCTAAAAAGAAGATTTGAAAGTCCACCCTTAGAGAAAAAAATGTTGCTGTCGTCTGCTGACCGTTACCTGTTTAATCAACAATGAGTGTTGATTAAACTGGAGAGAAAAGTGAGCTCTGATTGGTTTTTTCCTGGTAGCCAAGTTTCATTATCTTTTATGGTGATGTGTTCAAGGTGTGTAGAAATAAAGAAACATCAAAATCTTATGAACATGGAATGTTTGGGTTTTGGTCTGTCTGGATTTATAAAATTAGACTTTTGGCATAAACATTTTTATGTTTATGGGTTGTATGAGAGAGAGGGAGGGTGTGATGAAGGGATGGTCCAGATCCAGCTTTTTCCCAGGATCTCGCATTACCAATTGGAAAAATGCCTCCAATTTCCTCCTTCTATTTATTGTTTTTAGCTCCTATTCTGCATCCTTCGGGCCTTCTTTTCAAATGCATTTAGATTTGAAAATGTAGTTCAACTAATTTAGCTTTTGAGATGTTAATCAGCTGCTACTCCTGAAAAAAGAAAGAAATTGTTGTTATGTTTATGCATAATAACAAATGTCCCACAGTAAAATATGTATAACAAACAGTCCCTCTAGCTGTCCTGCATGAAGTAAGAACACCAAAAAAACAAAAACTTTGATCCACAAAAGGAGGAATTATATTTCAAAAAGAATCAAACTCAAACTTACAGAGCCAATCTATGGAGGTAAGGTAATTGTAAAAAAGTGTATGTGTTGTTGCCCGAATTTTGAAATTAAGGCTATAGTCAGAAATGGATTTAGAATTTGTATTCCTTCCTTGTTCCTGTATTTGTGACATCATATGTTTAATCTGTGTGAAGATTAGCATAACTTTACAAAACTAAAAGTGTAAATCTGACATTTCCGACTACAAACCATAGCTTCAACAAGAATTAATCTGTAACCCCTGATAAAGCGGTTACAGTTCTTACCAGTTAATGGTAATAATGCATCTGAAGGTTGCCGAAGAGAAATAAGATGAAAAACAGAACCATAGAAGCCCCATCAGGTGCATTACCACCGTCGCCTACAGTAACACAGGGTGCAACAGCTATATCAGGGATTGTAGATTTGTACCTATACATTTTTGCATTCATATGTTTGTAATATGGAATTTGCACTTGCAAATGTATCTGTATTTTTTTTAGGTATTTTGTTGTTTATTATGTAGATTTGCAACTTGTATTCTCACAGATGAAACTTTGTATATCGTATATACAGCCAAATGTAAGCTGACAGCAAAAACAAGTACAAATCTTGAATTTATTCAAGTTTATTCGTTAACATAAATGAAAATAAAGACTGTCAGAAAAATGAATGTGTGTCTTTAAGTGAATTTGTAAATCTAAAAAATTTAGACGCACATACATTTTCGCTGATAGTTCTCTTACTGCATAATATTGCATCAAGCAACCACTTTTCTAAAATTTCTAAAACATCAATTAATTGCTCTTTGGTGTCTGGATGTTGAAGCTGGACTGTGTGAGTAGAGAATGCAAAACTTTTCAGATTAATAAATGTTTTCTAATTGTTTTCAGGGTAAGGTGTCCCTCAAGGAGCTGAACTTGAGACCATTGGAGGTGTTCATGTGTAGCGTGCTGAAGAGACAAGGTTATGGAGATGGTTTTCGTTGGCTTTCTCAGTATATTGACTGATTATGGTCCCTTGTATTAGCATTGATTGGACATGGTTGCTGCCTGTACACACAAAAACATGTTGCAGAAAACTACCTGCATTAAGCATAGATCTTAAGTATGCCCATTCTGGTAAAAAGGATTTTCCTGTATTACGGTACTAACAGAAATGTCATTCTGCACATTGCAGTTATAATTTTTTTCTCCTCAGATTAAATGAAGAGGCAATCATTAACACTCAATTGCTGCCTTTCTTCCAAAGCATGGAGGAAATTATATGTGCCAGAAACATGTAGATCCTGTAACATGATGTTGGAGCTGGACTTATATTTGGCCACTGGTGTTCGCTTACTGTAAAGTAAGTTTAAGTTGACATTACATGGTTGAAGAAACTCCCACTTGGTAAAATTGTATTGTAAATCTGTTGTTACACAGAACTAAACATGAAATAGTTTCATAGTTTGTTAATATGAACACAGTAGCTGTAACTGTTACCTCCATAGGGGCTGACTGGTCTATTTATTCTTTTGTGGAAATAAGCTCATGACTGTAGAATATGGAATGAATGCCACCATGGAAGCAGTAGCTGACGTTTTGTCTTTATTTGGTTTACTTAGTATGCCTGACTAAAGGAAAGCTGCAGTACAACCGCCTCAGCATTGCTAAGTAACGCAATAAACTAGTAGTTTAATGTACAATAGATGCCAGACTAAAATATGTGTTATCATTGTGGTCAACTGCTGCAAAAAAACCCTGAGTACTTTGTGATTAGTTGCTGCTTACAACATGCAGTGATATTATGAGAGTACTTGCACTTGAATACTTTAGTATGCACATTTACATAACATTGAAATGCAAAAGATAAATATATGTTTTGTGTAAAGTATTTTATTTATATTTGAAAGAAAAAAAATCCTGCTACATGTTATAAACATCAAACTAATGCATGAAGTGAAGTCTGTTACAAAAAGATGTCTTTTTAATGGGATGTGTGATAATGTAGCACAATAAATACTTTTGACAATTATTGCTACTCTTTTCTCTTTTTAAACTATTTTTACTGATTTTTTTGAGAATCTTTTTTTTTGTTGTTGCTCATTTTAGAAAAGAAATGCTTAAATTGGACTGATAAGGTTTGTATATGAAGGGATTTTTTAAAAAAATCTTTGAATATTTTCCTAAAACCCATAGGTTGATCTACACCAGAGTGATTGTGCCTTTAGCCATGTTGTAAAGTGCTTCGTAGCTTCATGATTATTTACTGTAGGCTATTTGTGGCAATCCACATTTGAGTTAAAAATGCCTGTGGAGAGATTTCAAGGCAACATTTCAGTTACAGTACTTACTTGTTTGACATTAGAAATAAAATCGGTAAAGATATCATGAAGTAAAACCTGAACCCCCACAAGTCTGAAATGTGCTTAAATGTAATTTCCAGAGATTTCGTAAAAATCGTAGCAATGTCCAGCTATTATATTCTTAAATAGTTCTGGAAAATTTATTTTGAGGGGAAATTCTTTGTATAGTTATTTTAATGGTAGCAAATGTATTTAATTCAGCATGCCTTTCTTAATTCATGGCATTAATACGTATTACTTTATTATACTTTATTTATTATTTTTTTATTAAGGTCATGAGCATTTAAAAGCCACACAAACATAACAGGATTACCTACTAAAAACAAGAAACTGTATTGTACAAACATAAAGTTAGCTTATCGTGTGCAATGGCATTAATATAATTGATTAAGTTTTTTTTTTTTTTAGCACTGTATGATTTTGATTAAGACTGTTTAATATAATAAAAAAATTTTCATATAATTTTAAACTGAATTTCTTCAAGCTGAACATTTTGTCATATTGTGTGTTACATCAAAATAATTTTTACTTAGAAAATATAAATGCTGTAATTTCGTTATGAATTATTAGATGACAATTTATGGTTTGAATTAGGAAATAATTTAAACTTGGACATTCTAGTGTACAAGTTAACCTGAATGCAACGCGGCAAACAAATCACAGCCGTAAAACGCCGTGTGGAGGCGCAACTCTACAGCTAGTTGGGAAATACTGTCATAAAAGTTGAATTGAATATTTTTGCTGTGAGCATTTTAGAGCTTAAAACACTTTTTGGTATTACTCGGATTTGAAAAACATTATTGTGCTGAATGATAAAGGAAAGATACATGATATGATTTTGGGACGTCATAAAGATGTGGCTCCTTTAAATTGCTCACCCGTTTCTTGTTTTCTATTGGCTAGCTAACCTCAAGTGCTGACCAATCAAGTCGAGTGTTGAGGGCTAAACAGGAAGTGAGCTTTGTTATAGAAGTTGTTAAACACGTACTTATTTCCCACAAAATATTAGTTATTATTTCAATTAACTGTCGTATTTTATCTCGTAATGGAGCCGTATTCTGTTATTTCATGGACTGGTTGTAATATTTTTAAGTAAACTGCCTTCGCGATACTTGTCACGTTGTGTATTCTAGCAGAGTGTATCTAAGTTGCAGCAGCATGGAGCTAAATGATGTGGAAAAGTGTTGCTGTGTGGTTAAAATCTCTGGGACATCCGAAAGAAAACCCGTCAGTTGCAGTGGAGTAATCGTCCACTTTCGTTCCGGTACTGTAATTTGCACCGGCCTCCCTTTTTCCCGTTTTGTAACCGACAGAGAGCTCCTCTCCTCGGACACCGGGGTCCTATTCCCACGCAGTTTCAGCGACTCTCTGAAAATCCGCGTTTGCTTTTCAGATTCTGTGAAAAACAAACCAGGTCGGCAGCGGGAGGTTTCAGGGGAGCTTATGATGCTGGTGAACTGCTTGGAATTCAAACAGGCCTTTCTGGGAGTTTTCCAAGAGTCAGACCAGTGGCGTTTCCATGGTGATGATGAGGATGCTGACATGATGAGGGATGCCCAGTCCCTGAGCTGGTTCGCAGTCCTTAAGGTTCGTTTAGTGATGTTGAAGGGTTCAGATCCAGGACCTATCCCCTGGCAGAGCTGCTCAGCCCTACAGAAAGGCTTCCCAGTGGTTGCATGTGGCTCCCCGTTTGGCTCTCTCTGTTTAGACCTCTTCAGTAGCACCCTCAGCAGAGGCATCATCAGCAACCTCGCTGGAGAAGACAATGCTGTCATCCTCACAGATGCTCGCTGCCTACCAGGCACGGAAGGGGGAGGGTTGTTTGCTGTGGAAGCAACAGACGGTGTCCGGCTTATTGGTTTGATTGTTTCTCCATTTGGTTGGAAGTCAAATGAATGGATAGGCCTCACTTTGGTCTGCTCCGTTGACTTGATCTTCAGGAACATTATGCATTGCACAGGGGTCCAAGATGGGCTTTGCCTCCAACCATTAGAGGCAGGCCTCAGCATGTCCAGCACAGCTCAGGTGAAAGAAGCGTGCAGATACCCTACTGTATGCTTTGTGGACAGTGGACAGGTCTGGGGGTCGGGAGTGGTCATCACCACAAATCTGGTCGTAACTTGCCGACATGTAGTCAGCGGGAAGTCTTTGGTCACCCTGAAGTTTCATCAAGGGAACAGGTTATTTTTAATTTACTGTTAATCAGATCATCGTTATAACATGTCACCCATAAAATGCAAAAGAGGAAGAATCCAAATATATCTGAATGAATAACTGTCAGTTATAGATAGTAATAAAATATAAACAGAGCATTACAAAATCCTCTTATATTGGTACAATGCAAAAGAAACAAGACAAAAAAAAAAATGCTAAAATCAAAGCATAAACTAGAATGTATTTTATTGCTTTTATGTGATAGATAAACATGAGAATAAGTGGTACAAACCAGTGGATAGGAAGGAAAATAATATAGATAAAACATGAACAGAACATATAGTCAAAAGTCAGAAAATGATAAGATGCCAGGCAGGAGCATTTTATACATTAATATGTTTAGCTGAAGATTCCAAATAAAATCAAATTGGTAAAACAATGAAATACACAAAAAGGCCTTAGCATAAATTTGGAGCTGCATTTTGTCTCTTAATCATTTTTGCTTTAATAATGCAAGTCCATTTATGCTAGAGTTAATTTTCTGTTTATTATTAGTTGTTACTATTATTATAAAGAATAATTTAATAATAATAATAATCTAAAGCATTGATATCTTGATATTTATTTTTTTTATGTTGTGTTTTTTTTTTTTTTTACCTCAGAGTCTGTGATGTGATTGGTGATGTATTGTTCTCCACTAAAGCATCTTCACCATATGATCTAGCCTTTATTGAGCTGAGAGTTCCCGTTCCAGATGCTGTGATCCCGAAAATGTCAGAAAGTTTCCGCCTAGGTATGATTTCAGAATTAAAGGAGGGCGACTCTAATTTAAATGGGTAAATTTGCTGTGAGATTAATACCCAGCTGAGTTTTATTTCTATTTTTCCAATTTCAGGTGATGCTGTGGTTATAGTGGGATATGGGGGTTTGGGCCGATTCTGTGGTCCATCTCTGACATCCGGTGTCCTCTCTAAAGTCATCCCCTTGAAGAACCAGCCTGTCATGTTTCAGACCACATGTGCTGTACAAGCAGGATCCAGTGGAGGTGCTGTGGTGCAGAAACATTCAGGAGAGCTGCTTGGTAAGCCCTGTACTTTAGAGAACAAAACCAACCTTATACTCTTCTTGAACAGTGGGGGGCATCTGACCACCACAGTAAATCCTGCATATAATACACTTGTAGACAAAAAGGCTCAGCTGCACTGTTCTCAGCAGATCAATCGGTCAGCTCTGCTGTGGTTGCAGTTTTAACAAAGGGCAACTTATCTGCTCTGTTGCAGGAATCGTTTCAAGCAATGCACGAGACCTGGCTGCGAGTGTAACATATCCACACCTCAACTTTATCATCCCCGTGCCTGTTTTCCAGAAATTGTTGCAGGAGTTTCACCAGATGAGAAATGTCAACGTGTTCAATGTGCTGAACTCTGTGGAAAATGATGTCAAACGGGTGTGGAGGCTACAGGCTGCACAAAGCAAACTCTGACCTGCACTTTGATATGAGGTGGATTCTACTTCAGTCATTTGGACATACACTGAAGTACAAATGAGGAGATTAATCCCACTTAACCTTTCTAGAATCATTATCAAAAAGACATTAAGGAATTGTAATACCCATTAATTCTTTTTAGTTCATTCGACGAAATAAAATGTTCTATATTGCTTTTACCAAGTTTGTGATCGTATTCTTTCATAATGATTTCTATTATAACACTAGTTTATAAAAGTCTTTATTCATCTTTATCAGGAACGGCACATTTATTGGCATATTTCATAAAATTGTGTAGAAAAAGGCTTAAAACAGGCTTTTCCTCTAATATAGTAGTCAGAATAGTCACAATACTAAAATCCCCAACTATAGATATCGATACCCAGAAAAGTATTTGATACTTGAAACCATAGGGATAAAAAATGGCAAAATAATTAAAAGCATAAAAAAATGTATTAAGATAAAAAAAAAAACTCCCCTTTTCACTCCAAATATGGATCACCCTTTCTGACCAGAATAAGATATTCTATTTGTTCAATAAGTGTGCAAATAAATGAAAACTATATAGCCCAAATATGACACAATTTGACAATATTCTTAAGTTGTTTGAGGTATTATTTAAGGTGCGGATTTAAAATGAACAATTATGCAAACAACACTTATATTTAATAGCAATACCATGCCAAATTAGTATTGTTTCCAAATACAATGATTGAGTATTGGTACTTTTCAGATTGTCAATACTTTTTTAACCCTAGTCCTAGTAGTATAATCTTATCTCAGCAAATCTTGAAGAAAAAACCTTAAAGAGGAGAAGGAATCCTGACATAATATTAATGAGCTGATTTTAAACAATGAATAGTAAATGTGGGAAATATGGTAAAAGAAGGTTGATTTTTCTACCCCGTTTATTTCACAGTTAAAACATCAAGAGCACTATTTCTGGAGGCATTTGTGGGAATTTAGATCTGCTCTTGATGTATGAGTTTTTTCTTTCTACAAGCAGGAAGGAAGAATTCAGCATAACAAGCTGACAGGTTGCTGAAAATGATTGGTCCCTCTGGGTAGCTTGAGAGGGCTGGTGTGTGTATATATCAGGTATTCAGACATCTGTTGGCAGGAACATTCACTCACAGTGTGTACGGTGGAGGTTTCACCCAATGGGATGTTGCTGATGCTGATTTCCATTATCACAGAAATATAAAACTGTGAGATGACATTTCCAGGGATTGGTTTCTGTCACTTTCTACAATTGTATGATGGACATTCTTGGTGTAAACTCTAGAAAACATGGAGCCTAACAGACGGAAGGGTTTCTATTTCACTAAGTCAATCATCAACAAAGGAGAGGCTTAAGCAATGTCCTGAGGACATGCAGGTTTCTATAGGTATTGTGCTTTAAGAACGGCTTATATGCAGGCTGAGGTCTGTGTCCAATTTCAGCGGGTTTCACTATAAGTGCACATTTCACAGCACAATAAGGGAAACATAAGGAAAGTAAGCTGACAACCGCATTGTGTTGACACAATCCGCTTTACAGCAAACAGGTCACGCATAGAAGAGATTTTGAGATTTGTGTCGGTGATTTTTCCTAAGAGGCGCCCTAAGTGACATATAGTCGCAGATAGTCTCAGTTTTATGTCTAAAGAATAATCTCATCGGAACCATCTTCCTTTCACACTTTGCTAAATTGGACCGTACCCAAAATAAACCACATGTAAAAGCAGCAGATTTAATGGTTTGAAACAAACAAAATAAAAAAAAAACCTATGACTTTTCCCTTTAAGGGTGAAATGTAACTTGACATACATTCAGTTTCCCTTTAATATCTTGCTCCAGTAAACAGGTGATGTTTTTTTTTGTGGAAAACCTGTAAATACTGTTTAGTATTAAGAATAATGAGGCAGATTAGCAAGAGTAAATGCTGACTGTCACAAGAATGACTGTATAGGTGCAGCAATGAGTTCAAATGACCATAATCATATTATTGCACTATGAAGGCTAAAATGAGCTAAATGTTTGTTTTTAAATTAAATTAAAAGGATACCATACCCTGGTCAATACACTTGTCAATGCAATAGATTGTGTTCCCTGTTCTTGTATGAAAAACATTATTCTGCAAGTAACTGTAACATTAGCCAAATTATATTTTGCTTAGCATATTTTAGTTTGATGATTATCTTTACTGATGTGACAAGATCTGTGAAGTTCAGTCGTGTTTGTGGCAGCTTAAGGTAAGATGGTGTATCGCCTTAAAATGAAGGGTTGTTATGGAAACGAGGTGACCTTAAGGTGCTACTCTTTGCTGCAATTCCTTTATTACTGAGCAGTTTTTGGCATCCCTCAACATCCGGATAGCCTCCGATAGCCTTGGTTTGTAACAATTTTGGCTGTTTTAAAGCATTACTTGTTGTTATAATTCTACGCTTCGGTTTGTTCTAGATAAATGGCTCATTTCCTGACTGAAAATGAACAGCTCCTATAGCTGAAAAGCTTATTTCTTCATCTTTTGATTCTGAAAAGCTGCTAACAGTTGTAAGTAAGTGTCTCAAGGAAAAAGGTAGTTATTGCTTACAAATTCTTTGTACTTGCTTATATTTGTCTCATGTGTATTTTTTCTAAATTATTCATGTTTTTTCAGCTCATGAAATATAACCACTTGACTGCTACATTTATAATGCTATTTCAACATTAACTCCTATTTTGATTATGTACATTCTAAAACTAAAAACAACAGCTTAATAATGATATTATTAATGAATTATAATAATCCTGAAGTAAACATGCTCATAAAACAAAACCTAAATATACACCATTCTGTTCCTAAAGTAAAATGTAATTGGATGTAAATGTATTTCCATTTCTGGTCGCTCTGCACTTTAATCTGATCCCTTTATGTATTACCACAGGAGTGTAAGCCACAACAAAAACTGCACAGACTCAGAAGAATGGTGGCCAGACCAGCCACATAGATAAGATTTATTTTATTTGACGTATTTTTTTAATTAAACACAATAACCAATGCACATTAGATTACGATGTACACTTGTCAGCTAAGCGGTAAAGCTGCCAGTCTTTCAAGGCATTGACCAGCAGGTGACATTCTGTCTTCTGATGCACACATTATATACAAGCTAAGGAGTGATGTGTGAAAAAACTTCTTAATATGTCATGAATGAGACAGAGCACTACTGTCACATATAAGCCAAAGCATATGAGGTGAAAAGGATAAAATCAAAGGGTGCTTTTCAATATTCTAGAGCGGTCTGATATCTTTTACGGGCAGCTTTCAAACTAAAACCCAAATTGGTTTTGATCTTAACTCAGAAAAAGAAATAAACTTCATTCTAGACTATTGAAATGCACCCAATGTGGATTTCTTTTTTACACAAGCACCTGCAGCTTCTTGAAATCTCCATTATGCATCAGCTAAAAACAGCTCATAGATAGTTCTAAAGGACATACAACAAAAGAGAACAAAGATTCACAATTAAAAGGACAATTATTTTTTAACTCCTGGCCCAGAATGTCTGAAGAACATCTCCTATATCCTTTTCAAAGATAAGAACAACCTGCAACAATAAATACTCCCAGATCTATCTGATTCCCCTTCCAAATCAATGACTTTCCCTCATGTTTTTCTAATGCAGTGTTAAACTGAGTGGAGTGCCTTCCTCATGTCCATTGTCAGCTGTGTATATATGTGTGTGTGTGTGTTTGGTAACGTTAAAATACTCCCACAGAGAGGTCGGACTGAACACTGACCCTTTACCAGATATACCCCCCATCATCCACCTCTCCCACCTCTCCCTCCTCCTCCTCAGCCTCCTCTGCAGTCTCCTCAGCTTCTTTCTCCTCCTCGTCTTCCCATCCAACTGCGCTGCCAAAATCCCCTGAATATGTCATTTCGGAATCTGTGAGGGACAGCATGCAGAGAAAATGAATTACAGCGCTGTGTGTGTGTGTGAGAGAGTCCTTCCTGTTTCACGGCAGAGACGACAAGCGTCTGACTTTGTCTGGGTTTTAATAGCTACATCTAAACTACCAGGGGAACCATTCTTATTAGGCGTGGGTTTCGTCCAATCAGCCCCCCTCCCATTTATATTGAGAGACTTTTTTTCACAGCGACAAGCAGCTCTTTAGAATGCCAATGACTCTGGACACTTTAAAGGAGGGGCAGGGCTTTGAATTAAGATGTGTTTTAGCAGAGTTCAGTCCTTTTAAAAAATTGAAAGGAGTACTTGTGTAAATACTCCTCTGAGGTTGTAAGAAGGAAGGGGGAAATAAATGCTTTGGGTATCAAGAGCTGTGTTTCTATCATTCAGATCCCAACATAAAAATTGTATGAATTCTCTGGCAACTGTTGAAATCTGCAGGCTTACCACAATCCGGCTTGCCGCGAATCCGAGACCCCGCCACTTCTCCTCCGTTCTGGTCGACACACCAGCACTCGCCCCTGTCACACTGCTGCTTCCTGTAAAAGCCGTCCTCATTGCAGCTGGGGATGAATCGACCTGGATCAACCACATGCACATGCTTAAATCAGTGGGAGTCAGACCTTTTGTTAAAAAGCACATTATTTCCATGCAAATGACAGACGACAGGAAAGCGAAAATCCAAAATATTCATTGTTGTCACAGACTGCACAAAGTCCATTTTTGCAGCATGTGCGGCAGTACCATTTCTAGCTTCTATGCAGTAAAATCTATGTAGCAGGGTTGTATAAACAGAGTGCATAGAGAAAAGAAATTAGTGTTTTATTGATCTTTTCTTTGTTATAAAAATGTGCCTTGGCTGTAAACCATACACCATTGAAAAGCTTTTTCACTGATAAATGTTGCCACATTTGTAGGGAAAATACATTTGTGAGTTGAGCAGAAGAGATGGTTATGGGTCTCATCAAAAAACAAACAATAAAACAAAAGGGGTCCTTATTGGATGTGATGTCAAAGCAGAGAATTATCAAGATGAGACAAGCCCAGATCTCTGCTCTCAAACCAGGTTCAATCAACAATCAATGACAATCTTTAACAAAGAAAATCAAGCAGTGTTTCATATTTTCTAGCAGAATCATGCAGTGTGTCTGCTGCTACCACCAGCTTTTGATCCCTGTCCTGTTTCCCAGTCATGAGCTCTTCTGCAGTATCTTTTTCTCATATTCCTCTCCCTCTTTTCAGAATCTGACTCTAATTATATCATCTGTAACTTACTGTTCATGTATTGATATGTATTGATATTCTGATGTGGCTGTGCTAAACCTACAAGCCATGTAGCCTGGCATCCTCCATTGTACAGTTAAGCAGGAGGTGTGGAATCATCACATTCAGACAATGAGACATGTCCAAGACCTGTACTGTTTTTGGAGAGGATGACCGATACAACCAAAAAGCCAATGTATGACAAACGCTGGTTTAATGAGATGCCGGTCCACCAGCACTGTTTGACCAAACTGTTGAGGAGCCGTCAGGGTTTTGTTGTTCTCCCACGCACTACTCAGAGCACCTGTTATATGAGTAAAGTGTTGAGTTGTCAATATCTAATTTCTTCAAACATTTCTCATCCAAACCAATAAAAGATGCAACGCAGAAGTCGAATGCAAAATTAGACATTTGATGACGGTAAATCTTACACAGGCATAACCCACTCCATAACTCCAATCTTATTAACAGTGTGCATTTCAATAAAAATGTGGCAACATTCCAATGCTTTCCAATGTCCCTACCTTTTGTGCTAAGCATACATAATACAAGCTGCAACTATCCTTTACTATCAAGAAGGCAATTAAAGGAGCTGAAATATATTTTTAAGATTCCCCAATGTCAAAATATCTAGTCTGTATTTTGCCTTTTCTTAAATCAATTTGTAATGTATAAATGCATATATTTACCAGGAATCTATGGGGGATGCATCTATTGTAATCAGGACTTAAATGGGGGGAAAAAAGCTTTGTCTGTAATGAATAACAGAGGAACAGACCTTCGATAGATGGATGAATGACTGAATATTAAATATTTTAATTTAGGTTCTGAACCATCAGTTTTGTGTTGTTTATAAGCAGAGAATGCAACGTTTGCAAATTATGAACCAATTAAAGGTAAGATATTTAAGGCCAGCCCCAACCCGGAGCTAAAAGACAGCCTCCTGGTGGAAAAGCATCACTTACACAGTTTTTAAACAGCCCACTCCTCTCCAGAGCTAAAGCAACAGTGCAGTGATAATCAGATATAGAGGTAAACAAGCCGGAAAAGGTTTATTTTTTAAAAGAATCGTTTACACCTGTGCAAAGGAAATTAGTTCTCATATAAGAATGGAAGGGTTGAAAAATTAAACATCCTATAAAATACATATTCACAATATACAATTTTGAAAAACAAATAGAAACCAAAACTGAGAACTCATCCAATCATTCGGGGGAACATGAGTGTCATGCGGCCTGGCTGCTTGCCTCTCTGTGTCCTTGGAGAGTCCTGACTCAGAGCCCAGTCAGCCCATCAAATTCTGCAGCGCACACACTCTCACACACTGTTAACCAAATCTGCATGTTTAAATATTCATCTACAAAGACATCCAGGACCGACAAGCGGCTATGTCGTCTGTTAGCACTTTTTAATTCACATGGGGTGATCACAGATTAATACCCACCTCTATCCCGTTATTTGTTTAATGGAACCCCCAATAATATGAGAGATGAGTGGGAATACATACCAAACTTTTTCTTCCCGCCATCCAGTACTTGGATCCTCTCCAGTTCGGCTAAACAGGACGGCTCTTAAAAAAGATTGAAAACATTGTTTTTACAGATAGGTCCAGTAACAGGGCCTATTGAGATAAAAACACTACCAACACAGCAAATGTTTTACCTTTCAACACACATTCAGCTGAAAATGTCAGCAGCAAGACACTAAAATTGCCCATGGACCCAAACCTCCCATCAGCGTAAGAAATACTCACTCTCTCTCCAGAAGCAAAGGCACCATTCAGCCGTGGAAACCTTCCCATCCCTGTACGAGTCACAGGAGTTGAAAAATGGCCGAATGCAGACCTCATATTTATCCAGGTTGATGGCGGCCAACTCAGCCTGATCCAAGTAAAGGTCATTATTGGTGTCAAGCTTGGAGAACATCCAACCTATGGAGTCCTTACAGCTGGCGACCAGGCTCCTGTCCAGCACTGCCGGCACAGACACACTGTCATTAATTACTATTGTGCAGACAGCTGTGCAGATAACACATGAAATCAGACCGATGACTTGAGAATGTACAACACCCTCCACATGTTGGTTAACATTTATTCAGTAAAAAATCCTAATCACACTTCAGGAATAATTGTCTTTTTGACAATAAAAAAAAAACTGCCTGACATCCATTGGAAGCAACAATAGCAGATTAATAATTCATTTTTTCTAATGAGAAATACAAACGGGACATTCTAATGAATGATTATGAATATATAGCGAAGCAGTCAGGGTACTGGCTCCTTGACAGACATGTTTTGACTGTTCTCTGATCTGATCTTGAGTGACTGAATACCTAAAGAATCCAAGCCGTGTTAATCAGATATACTTTATTGTGACTGATTGAGAAAAGCCTCTAACCTGACGTAGGGCTGGAAGCAGGAGATCTGGCTCCTTGCTTGCTGTTATTGTTCTGCTTGGCATTGGTCTGCAGGAGCTGGAACCAGTCCTTCAGACGCTCGCCGAGATCAGACAGATCCTGCCCAGTGCAGCTCTCTGTGAAAGCCAGATTGAGGGATATGCATGAAGCATTTTTTGCACAAAGTAGAGGGCATGTGTCAAAGCAACAAAAACCAGAACGCTGATATAACCCTAAATGTGTTTATCGTGCTTTTTTTTATTACAGTTAAGCTAATTATTCTGCCAGAGATTTGGATCTCACCACGTTTCCCCTCCCTGGATGCAGGTGACGTAGTTGGGCAAGGACATAGACCTGAACACTTCAGGGACAGAGCTTTCCCAGTGAGACACGCCTGCTGCTCCAGCTTGCACTGCAACACACACAATAATTAAACATACACACACGTACAAGCCAGCAACATAGACAAGGGGATGCAAAGGTGAACCAAAATGAGTTATTGCTGCAGCACAGATCAAATATTCATGAGGGTACTAACTGTAAGCCCCAATTCAAATCGTAGACTTGCTTCTAAATGTGCCGATGTCTAACCTCTGCACACACAAGGTCAGGAATAGGGAGCCACAAGACAAAGCATTAATCAATAAACACACAGGACACTGTCACCACAAGCCGCCAATTGGTCCCTCTGAGGGAACATATCTTGACTCTGTCCTGATTTTTCCGGGGAGAAGCTCCTCGGACAGATCAGCTCAGAATGTACTTCTGTTTTTTATCCCAAGCTGCACAACATGCTGTCTGTATCTATAACAGATTTAAAGCTTTTAATAGCTCTGTGTGTTTAAGCAATTCTTCACACAACATATGGTTCCCGAACATTTATTAAATAAACACTACAACAAAGGTGATGTTTAACCAGTGCGTACATTTCCACATTTTTTTTACTGCCTTATTAAGAGGAATGCAGCCAAGGTTTAAATCACCCTTTTTAGGAACATGTTTTCTGCTTTAATTCTGAAAAAAAAATATTGTTTTATCCATCTGAAAGGGACAGAAATAAACTGCGAGTAAAATACTGATGCCTTATAACATCAAAATATCTAGTAAGCAGAGATGTGTAGGAGGAGATTCTTTGATTCAGTAGTACCTAAAAAGTAAATCAAAATATATATTCAGATGATACACATTTTTAAGATTAACTACCAGATTACATTTTTTGAGTTAAAAAAAATAAAAATGATCTGATATAAAATACATCAGCGCTCCAAGCTGCAAATTCCTCCTGGATTGGTGATGAAATGTCTTCAGATAAACTGAGCCAAAGTCTGGTTGCCTTAGATTAAAGCCTGTTTTGTAAATGTTATGACCCTGGAGGTTGATAATTTAGATTGGCTTTGTAATGTCTTTCAATCGGTAAATTATGTTGAAAAAGTGCCATTCCTTTACTAGAGAAAAATATGTTTTTTTGGGTCTTTCAAGTTGTTCTTGGGAAATTGCTAAAGGTGTATTAGAATATACCTTAATATAACCCAAAATCTAGACTTCTATGCCTCATGTTGACAATGCTTTTCAGTCATAAACTGCTTCTGCTTATATCAGGGGCCCCATCTACTGAGATTACAAATAAGAAGCGCTAAGTTGCACATAACGCATTATTCAACCTGTTCTGTGAATGTTTTGTTTGTTTAAACATTTTAGGATTTCTAAAGTCTAGAAAATAAGTACAATTTAAAACAAAACAAAACCCAACATTTTACTTAAAGGGTACCACATGAACCAAAGAAAACAAAAAAACAAAGTGGCATCAATTCACACAGACAAAAAAACGGCACCAACAATACAACGTTTGGATGAATTTCTATCTGCACATAAGTAAATGAGCAGATGATATGACTCAAGCTTCTGCGACAGATTGGGTAACACTAAGCAAAAAGATGAATCGATTGTGAGTCTTATCTGACATTAATTACAGCTTTTAATAGCAACACTTCATGTTATTTTGTTAGTAATATTAACACTAAATAAACTCCCCAAGCTATCACCTATGTAGTGCCCATTTAACCATGCTGCATGGTGGAACAGCGTAACTTCTCTGATGAGCTGATAGATGTGATGATAGAAAAGTGAAGGGCAATAATCATAGTAAAAAGGAAAGCTTTTGTGAGCCACATTTTAACATCCCTCTGAGAGCAAAGTGGGTTAAATAATGTGTACGAAAACAGTTTTTTTTGTTTATTCAGTCAATATTTAATCCAATTGACACAATAAATTGTTAAAATATGACAATGTGTGTTTTTTTTTAGCATATTGCAAAAGATATTCATCTCTTATTATGGAAAAATCCTGAAGATACAAGACAAAGCTAGTCAGTTGATCAGTTAACTTTAGATGCATTTATGAATCACAAATTTGCATTCCTAGCTCTGTGGTGATATTTAAACTCTCTAATAAGTAATCTTTCTTATGTGTCATCGGTTTTGTCTTTTGAGACTCTACAGTATACGTTTTACAGACTCTCTAACTACTGGAAAACATACCTTTGAGGCGTAGTTGTGTCCATCTGATCCACACACTGGTCCAGTGGAGGAGATGGGACAGGGCTGACAGTTCCCATCAGGAGATCGGAGAGCGGGTTGTTTTAGTCTGTGGACAGGCGACACGCAAACACTTCACCCTCACTTCCTCAAGCTGAGAAAACCACTGCCATATAAACTCAGAGTAGAGACACAGAGGCTTTAGGCTGAGCGTGAGATCGTGATGCAAACAGTCCCCTCCATGTCTAAATGTATTAGCCTCTCATTACACAACAGGAAACTTTCATTGGTTCCACAGTAGCCAGCAGCCAAACCACATCCCACTCAAGCAGCAGTGTAGACCATCTGTGTTGACCTCATGTCAGTGTGCTGGAGGAGCATTTCTGACTCCTTCTGTGTTTGGGGATTTAGTCAGCCGTCTTTCTAAACATGCTCACCTGTGCTCCAGTTTCTTGCGGTTGACGCACACAGCTCTCTGGTAGCCCTGAGCGATGCACACCTTGTGTCGGCTGCACTTAACCTTTTGACAAGGGTCCTTGGTGGTGTCTACATCTGGGAAAAAAAGCAAACAAAAGACCCCAGGAAATTAGAAGTAAACACGAATCCTTCCCTGTCTCCAGTTTTCTTCAATCTAATGGATTCATCTGCTTATCTTTTTACATTATATAAATAAATGGTATAAATTATTGCATCAAACCAGAACTTTTGTTCTTCTCTATCTATAAACTCTTATATAGATACAGCCTATATTTTACGGAAGGAAAATAAAGCAGGATGTCCCCACGAATGGTTACAACACTTCTCACAGAATTATTTGAGCTTTAAATATATTAGAAATAAAGCCTGTTTTATTCAAATCCATTACAGCCATTCCTTTGAAGAGCGTTTGCTGTACGTTGACGTGTATTGTTAAGACGTTTGTTGAAGTCAGTATTCAATAGGTACATCACTTTTGCTCTTTTATAACTGTTTTTAATATACTTTAGGATCACCTGATCATCTAGGGATAAAGTTTAAAAACTATTTGCTCTTTGTAGTACTACCCATGTGCATTTTTTAGCTGAAGTAATAAGAGCGATGCAAAGATACGCACATCTTCATCAATGAAGACAGACCATGTGCATACGGTAGTGTATTATGAAACTGTTGCTGCAACATTTATGCAATGCTTGAGGAAATTTAGAAGTAATAGCAAAGGATGGCAATGCTGGAGCATTACTCATCAAAGGCAGTGTACCTTTGTTTGTAATCAGAGGTAAGATGCACAGTACTGTGATGGTGGTATAGTTCACAATACTTTTTAAATTCATAGAAGAGCACTTAACAGAGCTGCTTAAGTGCTTCCTAAAATGCAACCGAATAACAGAGCTCTTTACAAATATAGTCGGTTAAATGTTTGGTTTTCATACAGAAGAATTATACCCTCACCTGTGATCTGATGACATTCTATAGTATAATCTTTATGCCTGACCAGTCTTACATTAAGCAGTTTACAAGAAAACAAGGCCTGATTGGATCCTTTCTTCTAAGCTCTCCATCGACAGGAGTAAGAAACAAAATGGTGCACATGGACAACAGCAACATGATATTGTATATGCAAAATCCTAGGACAGATCCCAGGACTGTCAAAGAAGCTTGGTAAAAAGTATAGAGTAACAGGGGAAGTAATCTGGACTTTAAAAAATGATAAAATCATCATTCTGTTCCTTATTCTTTGCCCTCATGGATAATCTTGCTTCTTGGGTTTAGGGTGATCCTGAGAAAGATGAGGGATGCTGAAGGACCCTGTTAATAATGAGCTGAAGTGGGTCATCAAGAACACAACTGGAAATACACTGTGTACCGGCCTGTCTTACTGTACGTTTAACATTTAAAGTTTGATTCGAGAAGGACTTGAAAGTGAAAGTGCTGCGGCAATATGAGACAAGACTTAGGCCCTTTGAGCTCAACGAGACAGGCTGTATTTGGAGAAACCTACCCACATCATCATCATCATCATCATCATCACAATCATCATCATCATCATCATCATCATCATCATCATCATCATCTCCAATGTGAATGCTTTTTGATCAGTTAAATTATTGATAATAACCATCTGTTACACATTATTTTATTTATCTATGAACATTAAACACTAGACCTAAGCTGACTCTGGAAGAAAAAAGCTTCTTGGATCTTAGAGTGAATCTTGATTGGTTGCTCAGTGTGACCTCATCAATCACGACTAGCGACTAAAGCTGCCCAGTGTGTCAGCCTTTCACTACATGCTCATCTGTCATAGTTATCTACTCTGTGCAGGCTTCCTAGGGCCTGACCTGGATGTAGCCCCACCATTCTTTTTAACTTTGCTGGACAAAAAAAAAAAATCAGCTCATCTGTTTGACAGAGCTGCCTCTAAATCGTGCTGGAATTCATCTCCTTCCTCAGTCACTGCTGATTTACAACTGTATTATCATTAAGCAGGCAGGCTTATCATCTCTCTTGTCCCTTCCACTGAATATATTAATGCGGCAGATTCCTCTGGATTATTGTAGATGTCTGACAGATATCTGATTTTAGAAACAAATCCAAAACTATACAAAGAGCTGTCAGGACTGAGATCATTGCATAACTGAAAGGCAGACTGCTATGCTGCAGGAACTGTGAAACTCCCAGGCATTGACACTGAATTATAGACTCCTTATCCATTTGGATAATGGTTATGTATGTAAGCTTATTTTGGTTTCTACCTTTTTTGTAATTTGTTTGTTTTGTTTTGTTTTCTTGTTGTTTAATACCAAACAGAGTACATGAAAGTCATAATATAGCACCAGGAGTCGGTGAAAAACTGATAGGGTCCCACTTTCGCAAAAAAAAAAAATGATTGCATGAAATTTAAACCAAACTGAAAATAAAATTATAAAAGATGCTAAGCAATAATGAAAAAAAAAAATAATCCTGCCTTCTAGGAAGGAAGCATAGCTGATGAAATTTTGTCCCCTGTGAGCATCTAGAATACTGGCACAGCCTCGTGTTGTGAGTGCAGAAGCATAAGGTGGCTGCCTGAGCCTCATGTTAACTTAACAGGCTTCCACGGATTAAAGCAGTGCCTGCAATGATGACGTTTCCATAGCAACAGGCTTTCAATGGTCTGAGAATCATTTCTTGGTAGACTGAGATTTGCAGTTCAATCTGCTGCTTCTGTGAATCCTCTTTCTGGATGTGTTTGAATCCCTGATGTTGAATCTTCCTTTGACCTTTTAACATTCCTATGTGCCTCTTCAGACTTCCTTACCCTCTCATTTTGAATATGTTTGGTGTGTGTTTAGTATTTTCACTATGTTTTCACTATTTTTTTGTTAAATTCCTGAAAGCAACCTTTTTTCTGAAAGACTTCTTAGGTATTAAACTAATGCCTGCAATGGAAAATCTCTACTAATTAGTCCTGCCAATGCTTCTGTCTAATCCAATCCAGATTTGCATGAGGTTTATCCCAGCAGATCAAGGATAACAGGAGCAGAGCTCAGGCCACATCATCATCACCAGCTTTCCTACATTAGGAACAGAATTTACTGAACTTTAGCTCTAAATGAGGGTTTAGGGTTTTCCTGCTAAAAGGTAGACCATAAAGCAAAGTCTTGGAAGTCAGAGGTGTACAGAGTTAAGTGGAATGATGAGAGTACCGTCCCCTGTGGTGCTCCTGTACTGCTGACTACCAGGTTAGACATTTAATTCTTCAGTCTCACTAACCGTGGTCCTAACCTGGGTCTTCTGAGGTTTCAGAAAAAGTTAATTAGGCTGAGTAATTATAAATTCACTAGAGACATCAAAGAACGTGATTCTTAAAGTGCTGTCTGATTTGTCTAAATGACAGTAGTTTTGTTCAAGGAGGTGTATGACAGCTTCAACTCCAGTTATATGCTGAGAAAATAAACTACAGAGAGTTGTGATAGGTGATTTGTGGTTTTTCTCAGGTGGAACAACAGATCTAGGAGCTTCATGATTTTAGATTCTGGGCAACATAGCAACAGTCATTGGGGATTGTGGGTTGAGTTTCGTTTGGTGCCGGAACAAGGCAGGAGTTTTTCCACATCACTGGAACTGTCTCCTGGGTCAGGCTTAGGTTCAAGAGGTGTTATAGAATCCCACAGAGCTGCTCTGCACAGGCTTTCAGGACATGGGGGCTGACACCATCAGGACCTGGTGCCTAGTTGCTATTCAGTCTCTCCAGCTGCCTCTGCACTTGACTTTAAGAAACAGACAGGTGGAAGTGGGAGGGAGCAGCACCAGCTTCAAGAGTGTTAAGAAAAACAATGCATAGAAGCAGGAGGGTCCATGGCAGAGGTTCAAGATAAATAATTTAAGACGTTAGAGAGAAGCTTTGTGTCAAAGAAGGGCTGCACTAAAACTATTGGAGAATGTGTTCAGTTCATTGGCTCTGTCCAGCTTTCAATTTGTCTGATCGTTCTGCTCGAAGCCCTGGCCAACATCTCCGATTTTGTTCTGCTTGACTTTGCTTTCCAGCTTCTTCCTGTATGTCTTCTCTTCTTCCGTAAGCGGCTTCTGTATTGTCTTCAATAATTCCCTGTCTCACTTCCTGAGGACTTTTTATTTCTTATTACCGGTAAATACAGATCTAGGCTATAGACTGTGATGCCCTGTGTTACCATATCAAGAGGACATCAATGCAAAATCTGTGAATATTTAAACTTCTGTGTAGATAACATCATCCCATAAATCTTTGACCATTGTGGATCTGAGATAGGAATTTTGAGCTTTCATGAGCGGTATGCCGAAATAATCTGTATTAAAACAATAAAAGACCTGAAATATTTCAGTTAGTGTGCAATGAATCTAAAATTTATGAATGTTCAAGTTTTATCCTTACATTATGGAAAATAATGAACTTTATCAAAATATGTTAATATTTTGAGAAGGACCTGTATATTTGCCTATAAGTGACTTTGAAAGGACTAAAAATCATAACATAGTACCTTAAAATTTTACGTTTTCAGCTTATATTGGAGGAAAATTCAGACTGTGAATATTGGAGGAAAAGTCAGACTGTGAATGAAATATCTAATACTGTGCAACTAATACCTAGGAAGCTCCTCACAGGTTAGGATATGACTCTCAGTGGCTTCTGATTAGTGATATCCTGTCAGATTAATTGGATAGCCTGTCTTGGAAGGTACCAGTTGTACTATTCAACTTCCATTTCCATATGATGGCTTGAACAGTGCTATTAGTTAGCTTTAACAGATGTTAAAGCTAACTAATTTTCTCTAAACAAACTCTGGTCTTTGCAAAACAGCTGTATTTAAACTGAGATGAACTTAAACCCGGAGCTGCTAATCAGGTGACTTCTGAAGCCATGTAATTGCACATCATTTTTGCAGGGGCATCTGTGCAATTGGGTCTGAATAGAGATGCACATTGTCCTTTTATTTTTGATTTAGATTATAAAAGACAAATCTCAAGGATTGGGAAATGTTTAAGGCACACTGTGGCAACAGTTTCATACAAGCACCAATAAGAAGCAGCTAAAAAACTGACCTAAAAACCTAGAAGAACAAAATTTCACTGGATTTATTTTGATGTATGAGGGATGAAGGTGCTTTCACACAGTGGTTCTTTTTACAAAAATGTAGGCAGATAATATCTTTTAAAAAAAAAGGCTGCATGTAAATTGATTTAGGGCAAATTTGTGATGTAAAGAGGCTGAAAGGGATTATTTTCCCATCAAAAACAAATGAGCTGATTTTGCTTCATCAAATGTGAGGAGAAATGAGGAGAAATGCAGGACTTTTGAGGCACTACCCTTAGTGTCTGTGCTCAACTCCCAATAATCTATCCAATACCTAAGGAGCTTTTAAACTCTAAAACCTTGCAGAGTGTAGAATAAGCATGTTTTCTTATCTTCTTACTGTCTACCATTGATCTAAAGCCAATGATTTGCCTCAAAGTGTCTGTTCACCATTCACCAGGCCTCTCAGATATCCATGTCTATAGATCCAATGTAAACTGGAAGGCATGAAAGGATCAGGCAAGTGGACAAGCCTGAGACTCTTACTGTGGGTGTGTGTACATGCTTGTTTGCACTTATAAGCCTAAATTACAAACTCCCCTTCTGCAGTGTTTGTTGTTTTAAGAGCGAAGTGATTCAATCAGCAGTTAGATTGATGAATCAACTGCTGAAATCTAACCCAAATTACCCTGACATCTCCCTCGCTTAGCCCGCTGCTGACTTAAGAGCAGTCAGCTGCTGCAGTCTCTGAATACAAATTCAATCATCAGCCTGTTGTCGGTCAATGAATTTCTAACTCTAAACCTAAGGAGTGTTGACAGTTCTGAAGCTATGCCTTCCTGTGCACTTATGTCTGGCTAAGAAATTATGCCCACAGGCTCAGATATCCAGAGTAAAGACATCAGACTGATTCAGGGGTGTCTCTAAGGGACAAATCTCTTTTTGCTTCTTCGCTTCATTAGGCCACTCATAAAGGAAGGCAGATCAATGGCTGGAGGTGGAAGAGTAGAAGAGTGTCATCAAAGGGATAGGAAGTAAGCTAAATGCTTAAAAATGTACAAATCAAATGAGAACTCCTCCTTTGTGAAACACAACCTTAATCCCAAAGTCGCTAATTAATAAATTCTGATTGATAATAATTTGGTTTGATGTCAAACAGGAGAACAGCTGTTGAATAAAATCATTTGGGGCAAAATGTACATTTGCCATAGAAAAAACATTAAATTGTAAAAGCCTTTTTGTTTTTTTACTGGTTATGTGTCTGCATGTAAATGTCCTGGAGTGTACTGACATCTTGCAAAAACTAAATTCTTGCAATATTTCTATCCACATTAAGACTGTTAAACAAAGTTGATGTTAACATTAGAGCAGGAAACCTAAACTAAGATTCTTTACCTTGCATTGACTTTTTGTGCTATTTATTTTTTTCTTTTTTGAAGCCGTTCCAGTTTTTTAAAGGATTATACATTTTCTAGAGAATAACTTTTTTTTTTTTTTAGAAATGATGCCTTAATTAGATCATACTAAAATTGCTAACCTATACAAAAATTGACATTTATTCCTGAGCAGAAAATGAACAATCAAAATCCACTGAAAACATTATACTAAACATTAGAGATTTGAGTTAGGCTTCGCAAGTTCTTGAATTTTCTCCATTTCTACTGCTCAGTGTCAGATGTAAAAAAGCTCGATGTGAAGACTTATTCTGCCAAGCAGAAATTACTAGCTAATTAGTTTATTGTGTGATGTGTAAAAGCTTATAAAAGATGAGCGCTGCAAAGAGGTGTTTGACAAAAGACGTCCATCTTGATTTTGCGTAGATGTCCAATGATTTCAGTACACCCAACTCTGTAAGATCCTTGGAACCCCTAGGAAGCAGGAAGAAAATTTCATACATTTTCCTGAGTTGTCTTGCCACTGCAATAAATATTGTCTCGCTGCGATTGTTGAATATTGATTTGGTTGTGAAAAAAGCAATGTGTGAGTGGACATCTTTTGTTCATCAAGACAATTTTTTTCAGCTTCACGATTAAAAAAAAAACGACTGATGTTACTGTCAATCATTTACCCATCTATTGGCCAAATAATCATGATGAAAACTCCCAATATTTTACTGAAATTATGTTATAATTTGTTGTTGGACAAGAGATGTATGTTAACTCTGCAGGAGCTGCTGAGATGCTGAAAATGGCCAAGGGAAGAGCAACAAGCATACAATTCATTGTATGTTTGTTAAACCTGTTAGACATTTCCATTTGAAATCCTGATCTAAGTCTGATAAAAATGTGAAAAAAGTTCATATACAAAGATGCATTTGTATGAAGCAGAGATTATTTGCAAACTGGAATATATATATATATATATATATATATATATATGCATATTTGCAGGTGAAAAAACAATTTGCTTTCTTTCATTTTAAAATGTTTGCATGTAAAATAAAATACAATCATATTATACAGAACAGCATATAGATCAGTAAAAATAGGAGTAAAAGAAGGTACACCAAAAGATAAAAACATAGATCAAACAAGAATAAAGCATAAAGAATCAAGGCTCAATGTGAAAATTAAGAAAATCTTAAACTACATAAATTTTATATGGAATAATGAAGCTTTTGCTGAAGCAGGCCATCCCTACTTTCACTTTCAGGATCTTTGTGTTCAGTCTAGTACATGTCTGATTATATTTTATGACTTTTCCATCAGGCTAAATGACCTCAGCTTAACTTCAGAGTCAAACTGATGAGAAAATAGTAAATAAATTTCCAGCTGAATCGCTACTAAAACTGTCAACTTTTTTTTAAACCCAGTATTCTTTGTCCAAATTGTCTCAGACCTGGCAGGACAAAGTTAGATGTCCTCCACTGAACAATAAATCACAGTACATTAGCTGCCACCCCCACTCCTTATCCTACTGCCTCTCTGTCAGGCTTTTTATGAGAAACTATAATTAGTCTTTCATTAAGCTCTTTGATATTGTGCTAATGTACTCTGCCCCTTAGCTGACTTCACTTAAGCTACAAATCTGCCGACAAAGACAACAATGGCTGACAACTCGGCTCCGAGTCATGACTTTGTCTTGCAAAGACTCAATTACGGCCACAGTTGCTGCAGTAGCCAAGGAAGTTTAGTCTCTATGCATGGCTCTGGTTTTGGCAACAGCAGAAAAAAAAAGAAAGTGGAAGTGAACAAAAGAAGGTGTTGTTAGGCTGAAGTTGAGGCAAACATTGAGGGAAAATTACTTCTACATATAAAGCAGAGCACTAATATCTTTTAGAGGGTTTCCCTTTATGAACACTAACATGTAGTCACTGATGAGCTCTCAAGTTAAACCAACGGTCTTTGTCTCACACTGTTAATTTCATTAATGCATCGTTTTAAATCATTGATGCCAAACTCAAGTCGAGGGCCGGTATCCTGCAACTTTTGATGTCTTCCTGGTCACACACCTGAGTCAAATGACTTAATTACCTGTTTAGCTAATGCCAAGTTCTCCATAGTTCTGCAATGACCTGATGATTTGACTCAGGTGTGTTAAAGCAAAGAGACGCAGCTAATAGGTGCAGCAAACTGGCCCTTAAGGACTGGAATAATATTAATGAAGAATAGCTTATTAGTAGGCTCACTGCTAATGTTAAATATTAATGTCCATGAAATTTCTGTCACAGTTTAGGAGAAATAAGCTTATACAATGTATATGTTTTGTTTTGGAGGCATGCTTGCACAACAGGCTTCATTATTTATATTAAATATGAAAGCGATTCTAGAAACCTTTTGTTTAGTTTTTTTTTTTCTTTTCTTTGATCTTACCAAAGGTGTGTCAAACATTTTCAGTTTTCAATGAGGATTATGAAATAAATTTAAGTTTTATTCCTTTAAATGTATTTTAGGTTATTATATTTTATAAATGTATGCCATTCATTATGATAAATGTTTATTTTACACAAGGAAATTACATTTATCCACAATTTCACATATTTCCCCACATAATTACACTCAACTACTCAGCTCTTATTTTTTTTATTTTATTTTTTTTATCTACTCTTAAATGGTATATAAATTATAAATTATGTCAAAGAAAAAAAGAAGATAAGGGAAAAGTAAAGAGATGAACTGCATATGGCTGGTTTTAGTGAGTAATTTTGCTGTATCATTAGCTACGTTTACATGGACACAAATAATCGGATTGAAGGCCTGATCAGATCAAAAATGTTTCATGTAAACATGTCAGACTGAAGATTCTAATCTGATTCGGTCCGATCGGATATAAATTTAATTCCGAAAGAGAGAGGTGGTTTTTGCCGATCGCCATTCTGATTGGCGTCCATGTAAACACCCATTCGGATCTTAAGAGTAAAATAATCTTCGCTGTGCATGTGTGCGATGTCAGCGGGACGTTTTTCCGCCTTGTCAACAACAGGAAACCACCGGTCGCTCTCGCTCTTGTTGTGAACAACATCTAGGAACGCCGACTTATACACTCAAGTTCATTTAAAGCTGCAGGAAGCAGGAATTTATCCTCCTCCTCTTCCTCTTTTCTCTCTCCACAGCCCACTCGCTCTCCCACGCCGGTTCAATCGCTCATTCTCTACATTTTCTCTCGGACATTTCGCTGCCAAGCGCTTTTTTCCTCCTCTCTCCCTTTTTCTTTCCGCTCGCTCCGAGCGCATCGTTTGTCAGGCCTCCCAAAAACCAGACGCAGACAGAACTGCCAAGTTTGGCAGGAAGTTCTGCGCATGCTTAAAAGATTTAATCTGATCCAACGCTTGGTACATGTATAGACACGTCATGATCGGATCATTTCATTTAGTGTCCATGTGAACGGAGATTTTGAATTTCCGATCAACCAAGGTTTGGATCGGATCGGGGAAATTTTGCGCATGTAAACGTAGCTATTGCCAGTGAACGAAGCATTATGTTTGCTCAAGAACCAAAATAATCATGCATTAAAATACAACACAGGTAGTGAAGACTTACTGTCATTAGAGTCTTGATTTTCATCCCAGGAACGCACATAATCATCCTGCAGAAACATGGACAAAATGAATAGTGTTATCTGAAGCTGCAGGGAATAAGTAACAGAGTGTTGTAGGTGGTCTAAAAGATAAAACATCTGAGTTTCCCACAGCAAAATAGATGTGATTTCTTTTATCGACGCACAAGACTATGATGTGAAGGCTGACATGATAAGTGACTATCAGCAGGATGAAACAGGTAGACTGTTCTGCATGTTTTGTATGGAAATGAGCTGAACAAATCTGTGCCCTCTGCTGATAAGTGGGACATATGCCGTCATTGAGAAAGTGGCTTTTAACTGGGCTGCATTTCTCACATTTAATTAGAACATTCTAATTAAGTTGCAGGAGACGGATGGAGAAAAAAAACATGGAACACAAGCATGAACAGAACAAGACATTGTGAAAAAGAAACAGATAAAGGAAAGAGAACTGACCTCAACCTCCTGGTGAAATGCGAGCAAAAACAGAGAAAATAGCCACTTTAGTATATATAATCAGATATAGTACTGCATTCACTGATAATCTAATGATGGAAACACAATATGATAATTGTTGTTAATTCAAACCTGGCAAGGAAAGGCAAGAAAAATACAAAAAAAAAAAAAATTAACTGATAACTAATATTCTTTAATATAAAACTCCAACTGATATCAATAGGATATCAAAGCAACTGATAAACCTGTGTGAGCAGATATATTATTCTGCTAGAAATCCAGAAAAATTAATCAAAGCAAAACCACAATACATTTGCAAAGTGTATTAAAATACTAGATGTTAGTGATTAGACCTGCTTTAGATCAGGGAACCCCCTTCAGGCGAGCCTGCATATGTAAAGCTTTTAGTACTGTACATATTGCCTTGTCTGATATAATTCAAACATGAGTCATCTCCAAATATTTCTTGTTTAGCCATGCTACCAATCCTTAAGCGATGACTTACTCATCACTGTAAACATTTACTGCACCGGAAGCGAGAGCCAAGCAGCTCCTCTGGAGGCGATAAATCCCCAAACAACATGTGAAATAAGCAGCATTCATTGAGGCAGGAACCACTGCCATGGTTTTTATACTCACATGCAAACATGGACTTAAACATTACTCTCATCAATGCACCTTGCAGGGAGAAAGTTTTTTTTTCACAAACTTAATTTATTGTACAGCCCTACTTATGTATGCCAGTGGATTATTTTAGCCAGTTCATACATGATCTGATGTTTATCTACACCAATAAGTGACAAAACCTTTGAATCAATGATTCACAGGAACATTTTTATAACTACTTTATGGGAAGAAAAAAATATTGAGATAAATAATTTGTATTTCCATTAAGTGTGAATATAACAAGATATTAGCAGTGGTTCATATCAGCCAGCCAAAGATGCATGTTAAAGTGAACCTCCCCCCAATTTTGAGGTTTTTTTGTTTCCTCTAACAGAATTTCTATAAATATCTTAATTTACTAGATTAATTCTAATTTGTTAAAATTGTTTTATACTTTGTGCATTTATAAATTATGTGAATTTTGCTGCTGCAGCGAAGGATTGCCATGTAATCTCTATGAAGGGGAAGCAAAGCGGAGCGAAGCTGGGAGAGGCGATGGTGGCGTATTTAGGGCGGCGAACGGCACTAATTTTGGCAAAGTTGGCCACCTTGTCTTCAAATGAAGTTGAATAATCTGAACTTTTTTGTTAATTTCATCTTTCAAGATCCAGTAAGACGTCATGTTTATTCCCTTGAGATAAGAGCAGAGAAAGGGGTCTTCGACTTAACTGGAGGACATTAAGGATACTTTCTTACACAGAGGGAAGGAGGTTAGATGCAAATGTTTGGCAGACTTCTCGCATGCTTATTTTTAAACAAAAAATAAACAATGCCTCACATTCTCGCTCTCTAGTTAGAGTTTTTGTCCGTCTACAAAGTTGATGTTTACAGTCATAATTTGCCAACATTGAGGAGTGTATAGATAACTCAGCAAGGAACTGTATTGTGGACTACAGTCCTTTGATCACCAAAAAGTACGCCTGCAACATGAGTGATTGTTGGTTATGTTGTTCAACCTTGTCAGTTCTGTCAGAGTCCAACATTACAGCCGGTTGAGACCTCAAACAGTTTATGACCTGGCCGTTAATCTGATGCCTCCCATGCCTCCTTTATTGATGCAGCGGCTCTTGCATTATTTAGCAGCCTTTCTGTATTTGTGCTCCTGCCAGCACAGATAAGGAAACCATCCTGCAGCGCTGACAAGACGGGAAATCGATGAACTTATAAAAAAAGAGGCAGCGGAAAATGTATTTGGGAGAGAAATAACTTATCCCAGCCTGAACAGTTAGAGTGAGCTTTTAAGCATGTGGAGGGGTGAAGCCACTGAGGTTACACCAGGATTGTTTTCACAGGACCAAATGAATGTGCTAAAGACAGCTGGGTTTAACACTGAAGTGATTAAAGGAAGCAGATTAAAACATGAAAACACTGGGCTATATCCAGGAGCTGTAAGATCAAGCTGATAAGATCACAAGACACCAAGAAGCTTAGCGTCTATAGCAAAGTGCCAAAATACTGCCTGACAGAGAACACTCCCCCACATCCATCGGCGGAGGGGGGATCCTGACGGCCAGAAGCAGGAGTTGATGGACCTAAGAACAAACAATGAGGTGGCTGAAAAAGCTTGTATGCAACTTTTGTCAAACGTGTGTTTGACAAAGCATGTGTGTCACTGACAGGTGTTTCTGAACAAATATTCGATGCCAGCTGGAGCCTGTGTTCCCTATGTTCCCCGGAGAGGTTTGTGCAGAGCGCTGCCACGTCATGGACACCAAAGGACATTAATAACCCTCTTCTGTTGAGATCTGCTATGACAGGATGAATGTTCCTACTCAACTGTTCCTTGCAATTTCTGCTGGGGTTGTCTTTCAGCGAATTCATCAGGCACAATAGAAAATCTCATAATTTATGCAATGTTTCATTTATGTGCAGCGGTGAGATGAAAACACCAGCATAAAAGGAGTAGACACTCGTTAAATGTATCCAAAATTTGCTTAGGATTATAATTACTGTTCTGTTAATGTCAAAAAAGCATGTCCTAAAGATTTCATACCTTGGTCTCTTAAGTCTAAAAATACAAAGTAATCTATACAATATTAAGGATTGCAATCCTTTTTAAAGCTTTATGTAACCTTGAATGATTCCATTTTTTTTTTTTTTTTCTGTCAGTCAACGTAAGCTTTAACATCATTTTTGCCGCTTTCTGGCACGTTGTGTTCTCATGCAATGTTTTATAATGTAGCTGTGTTCCAGAGAAGCACACTCATTCCCTCTTTCTGACATCACAAAATGACTGAATGTGAAAAAGTGACTGCAATAATACCTGCTAGAGTAGCTCATTAAGTTGTGTTCCTTGGCTCTAATATCATGCCATCATTTGACTGAATCATCAAAGACAGCAGCTGGTTTTAACACAACCTCAGGAGGAGGAGAGTTTGCATGTTCAGCTCATGGTGGTTTGATGGTACGACTGACAGAGGAAGGAGATCAGAAAGACACACAAAAAAGCAAATTATGCATGTTCTGCAGTATATTCCTGTTTTTTAGATGTACTATGACATTTTACAGGTATCTTCAAGAGGCGCCTCTTGTTAAAGTTGATAATCAAATAGTTCAGCTGGCAACAGACAACAATAGTCTAATAGTTTTGGAAAGATTGGATTTTCATACAAACTGATATTATCAAAATGTTACTTAGTATTTTAAAGCATCATTACCCTAGTTTAAGAGTTAAACATTATATATATATTTTTTTCCATAAAAACTTTTTACATAGTTAGACTGATTTAAGGTAATAGAAACCCCATCCTTCCTGCCTATCAATGGATAAGACTTGAGATGAAATTGTGAGAATATTTTAATGCTGTTTTCTTTCATCAGCACAGCCTGTATTGTTTCTGACCATGTCCATCCCTTTTAACATATATTCTGCTGGTATTTTATTATTCTGCTTATGGCATATTACCCTGCAATACACCAGGATCACACCATATCACATAACAGAAATAATCACCACTAGAGTTCACTGTACACTAAAAGCCTCTTCAGTGGGCAGATCAAACTCCAACATAAAGGATGTGGTGACACAGGAGCTTCACTTTAAATATGAGCGGCAGACACATGTGTTGCAAAAGCAAGATACAATCATGTCAATATGGACAAAAGTCTCTGAGGATTGTTTCAGATACCTTTTAGAGCCAATATTATGTATGATTGCTAAGATGCAATGTTTAGAGATTGTACTTAGTGCTATTCATCCAAATTCTTCTGTCCTATATTATTAGTCCAGGAAGATGGATCTTCACTGTCCAAGATATAAAAAAAATGATATAGATGATTGTAACTATTAAATGTAAACTTATCATGAGAAATAGGAATGTCTTGATGATGAAAGGCAAAAAAACAGTAATATGGCAGTTCCATTGTGCTTATATTGTGCAGCGTTAAAGATTAGGTATTCTGCTTATTATATATAATATAATTATTATTATTTTAATGATGTCCACAAAGAGAAATCTGTAAAAAAAAAATGTCAAGATTTCCAACACGACAGTAATTGATCCGACGGGAGGTGGGAGGTGCTTCATAGCTGTAAGTACAAAAGGATAAGGCTGTGATATAGCTTTGGTTCAGACTGCTCAATATGTTATCTGTTTGAAGTGACACTAAACCCTACAGGTAACATGTTAAAAGAAAGTATTTGAGAAGAATAGAATAGTAGGAGAGAATGTGATCTACCACGCTGTAGATACTGGAGGCATTTTGTCTGCCACCAAACAGGATATTTTTTCTCACTATAGGGGATTTTGCTACCTTTAACAAGTAACCGACATGAAAATACCTGTTTGACCTCCTCCTATTGTATAGGTCTCCTTTTCAAAGTCTTATTCTTAATTTCTTTGCTCCTCTGGCCTTCTGAAATGGCATAAAAAGAAAATATCCCTGCACTGCTTAATGGAATGGAATCATTCTATGTTGTGTTTTAGCACTTGGTGGAAAAGTCGATCTTATTAAATCTCCTTTAATGCATATAACCATTGTACAAAGGAGTCAAATAATTTATTTAGAGCTGGGGCTAAAATCGGACAGACCTTTGATATTGATTAACATCCAACATTTAAGATCCTTAGACAATCCTCACTGATTTCACTGCTAAAGCATCTGGTTTCCTTTTCTCTCAAATGATCAGTGAGTTTATTGATAAGGAAACATGTGAAAGGTTAACTTTACATATGATAGTTTCCATATCATGCAAATATTTAAGTACCTATTTCATTAAATTATACGTTTTGAAGGTAAAATCAACTAAATTAGCATATGTAGATGGATCAAGTGACTGCTAAACCTGATAATATACATGTTATACATAAAACATAATGTCTCTCTGAGGTTGTCGGCACTAT